GGGCTGTGCAACACAGAGAAGACAAGTAGTGATTCTACAACATCTTACTATGCTGATGGATAGTGACTGTAATGGGGTTTGTAGGGGGGACTTGGTGAAGGGGGAACCCTAGTAAACATAACGTTCTTTATGTAATTGTAGATTAACGATAACAACAACAACAACAAAAAGTAGCCTAAAGGTGAGAAAGAAGATGCAGGAAAGCAGCTGCAGACCGCCTGGTTACTGGGGGTTGGGTGGAGTGCCTGAGCAGGGTTCCACTCCTGAACTACCCCACACCTGACCCCAAACAGGGTGCCTGCAGGAGGTCTCACAGGGCCTGGGCAGCAGCAGCGGCATCTACATGAACTAGGTCTTCCTGTGTATCTGGCTTTGAAACATAACAGCCAGATGAGTGTGATCTCTGCAGAGGTGATTTTCACCAAAAACCTTGTGCATACAGCATTCCTTCTAGCTCCTTCTACAGTTTTGGGGAGGGGCCAGAGAAAGTATCTGCCTTCAAACTGCTTCTATTTGTTTTTTTTTTTCTTCACACAGTTAGCATCTTAATTTAACTTGAATACTAGTTTTCCATGAAAGACAAAATGAGAAAGCATATAAAAGGTCATTTTATTATACCTTTTTTTAGTGGGATATCAGTGCCCCTTAAAACCCTACTATTAAAGTACAAATGATTATGTTTACAAAGTATTTACAGTTCAGTCTTTTTCCTTTATATTTTAAAACACAACAGCTATCTGGTTACAATGTTAACAAAAAAATCATAAAAATTGCAAAAAAGGAAGCCTAGTCCTCATCAGGCACCAAATCTGAACCAGGCTCGGATCCAACCTCCTGTTTCCCATGGGGTGCTTTCAAAACAGCCTGGCCTTAATTAGAACAAATGCCTCTTAAGTAAAGAATAACTGGGTAACTGCTTTCCCTGGTGGCAGATTCAAGTTTGACAGTGTTTTGGCTGCTGTGTTTACATTTTGTGTTCTGAAGATTTCTTTCAATCCTGACATACTGTATTGGTAGGAACCCTGGTTCACAAGGTAATGCAGAATTCTGCTAACATAACAAGCTGAAAAGGCCTTGATAATTTCCTACACTCACACTTCATTCTTAAATATGCAAAGTTTAACCTTTAAACAGAAGGCCAATAAAACTATATACTGGAAGGACAGTTTTTACTTAAATGACTCTACTGAAGACTACTAGGTCAGAGGTGACATCTAGATGTTACTAAATTGAGTGATACAAGTGAAACTAGTTTCTTTCCATATTTTGCATTAGGGGATCGCTGAAAAAACACACTTTGGAGGCAAGAGACTCTCACTCACAGAAGACAGGGCAGGAGTTCCACACTGCAAGTGTGCAGACTGCCAGTGCTGCTCTCTCAGTAGCTCTCGAGAGAGGTTGCTAAGTTCTCTTCTAGTGTTCTAGACTAACAGAGGACTTCCACGCAGGCAGCTATGTCTAGAATGTTCTAAAATAAGTGCACTCAGCATTTGATCATCTAAAAGGAGTCCACCAATACCCACAAAGGACAAGAGGAAACAAGAAGGTTGCATAAATTAAATAAGCTAAAAAGAGAGGGTTCCTATATATTTTATAGGAACTGTTCTCCACAGTTGAGGATAAACACAGTGGAACTTTCCTTGGGACCCAGATTCAAAGCTGGGGCAGAGAGCCTTCCTGCCCACCACACTCTAGTGACAGCCCACGCTAAGCTAGAAACAGACAAGTTGGGTTGTAAGGAAATGTAGTATTCTGTTTGATATGTTCAATTAACTAGTTAAATCCCTTCCATGTTTTTAACACTTGATATTCACTTTTTTCCAGATGTTTTTGCCAAGAGTTCAAAAATGAGCGGCCCAGCTGGCTTCACTCCATACCACATGTCACTGTCCACATAAACCAATGGCAGAAAACACCAGGAGACAGAAGACATTCTTCCATGTCATTTAAAGAGACAGAATGAGGAGGGAGCAGCTTAAATAAACTTACAGTTAAGATCTCGCAGTATGCCATAACTGGTCCTTGGTACACACAGGCCTGATACAACCAATTTCCTGGACCAGGTCTTGTAAAAGAGGCCCAGACCCATGGCAGAGAGGGCATCCCCAGACATGTGCCTTTAACCTAGGTAACACTTCCAGGAAAGCAGATACTGGCCAATCAAGTGCACTGCAAATATTTCCATTATCTTGACGTAGTAAGAAAATAAACACAGAAGCAAACATGGGGCCTCTTCTGTGCTCCTCAACAGCAGGTCTCCCCCAAGCAGCATGGATGGTTCTCTGTGCAGAACCGTGAGCAAGTGCATCTGTTCATGTATGACAACCTGGCACAGAAATCTGATCCTACAAGTCAATAATGGAGAGTTTCCTACCCCATTTCTATGGGTAACACTTGTACATTCTTGAGTAAGCCACTGTGTAGGAGGGGGTTTCACATCTGCAGACTGTTCCTGGGCTGAGCAGGAAGGCAAGGAGGGCGAGGAGCGGCATCCCTGCTCTTACGCTTGCTAGCTCCTTGGGAGTCACATCTGTGACATAACAATGCTTGCACGGAACTCGGCCCCAAACCAGTCCGAGACAGGAGTCATTTGATGGAGCTGCTTCAGTGCACAAAGTCCAAACACGAGCTTTATACAAAAGCTGGAAAAATCCGTGGGTGTGCTGGGATGGAGAGCAGTCCCATAGGTTCTGTTTACATGGCAACAAGTCACATTGGGAAGAGGGTCTGGAGAGGCCTCAGTGGTGCTGTTTGGAATGAAAATTCAGTGACATTGTTTTCCTTTGACACGAGCTGGGGACAGGTCATGCATGCGCTTTGATGGGTGTCAGCACTAAATATTTCCTTTAAAAGTTCAAACAAGTCATATTTTAGAAGGAAGAAACTACCTTGGCATTCTCTGATCTGAAATGATCTAACCTTAGTCTTTCTCCTGAGAACCACGATGTGCTTTCAGGTAGGTATAAAGAACCCAGTAGAGGCAGACGCTGTCAAAGACCTCTGCAAAGCCTATTTTAAGACTCACTGCACATCCCAAATGGCTATTGTGTGTGCAAAATGCTGCACACTAATAGGGAAATTCTAAATGGCTTTCAAGGCTCAGCACTATTGGTCTACAGGAGAAACTACAAGGTGAATCTGCTGGTCATTTCACCATGTAATACAGAAAATGGGGTATCACTGAGGACCTGCTCCCACATGTAGGACACACTGTAATAAAATAGTTAGACTCCTTTGTGTCTATCATAGTTCTTCAGTTGCTGGACATGTCAATGACACTGTCCCAGGGTACAATAAACAAAATCTACCTGATTGGTGAGATGGAGGAATGCCACCTGCTTTCCGACTAGGGGCACGGAGGTTTGGTGGGTGTCTTTAACCTGACGGCAGGGACCCTCATTTGTAACTTGGGCTGCTGGCTTGGGCTGTCGGAGCTGGCTGGCACCTGTGCTGGGTTGGCAACACCAGGGTTCTGCAGCTGGGCAGCCGTTGTCACAACCTGCTGCTGCATTAGCTTCTGCTGGACCACCTGTGCAGTCGCAGTCACTGCTGGGATCATCTGGACCTGCTGCCCGGCTGCTGTTGCCTGCGTGAGGGTCACAGTCTGTGGGGAAGCCTGAACCGCAATAGTAGAAAATACACGTTGCCAAGAAAATGCACACCAAGTGACGTGGCAAATTAACATTCCTCGCTGGGAAAGGGGCTTTAGAAAGTTAGCATGAATGCTGTTGTCAAGTGTGAAAACTACGTGGCATGTCAAAATACAACCTCTGGTTTCTAACCAAACAAAAGCACACTATTGTTTTTAGGCTAAAACTGGATATCTCTGGGAAATAGGCATCCAGGGCTGACGAGAGGGAATGGATAGTGGTGTTCAGCTTTTAATATGGTTTTGTTTTTCTGGAAATCTACATCCCAGTGTGATTTTGAATAAAATACAGTTTTTTTAAAGCACTGCTTTTATATGTTACATTTTGTAGCAGCAAACAAAGTGGTAAGAGCCTGGTGGTTAGGCTCTATTAGGAGAGTAAGTCGTTGCTGTCCCTACAGAACCTCTACTGCTAGGTCTCAATGTCACTACACCTGGATTTTGTTTTCTTTCTGGGCTTCCCTAAAGCTAAGGTGTGGTGGCTTCAGCTCATAAGACACACCTAAGAGTACTGGCTGAAGGAGGGATTCCAGAAATGACCTCCTTCAGAACATCTGATGCTGAATTTGAACACATTTGTTCAGTTTTTCCTGCTAGTCTAAGGATATCAAGTGTTTTCCCCAGAGGTATTTTTTTTGCTTCACAGTGAAAATCAAAAGTGATTTTTTAATACTACTTCCACAGGATTAAAACCAAGAACTCTCTTAACCTGGGAAACTTGAGGTTTACTAAAAAAGCCCTCATGGGGACTTCCAGAAGGCACATCAGGTCCTACCTGTTGTGAAGCGGAGGCAACCTGCTGGAGGCTGGCCACAGGTGTTTGCTGTTGGACAACTTGAGGGAGTTTAGCAACCTTTAACAAAACAAAAAAGACTCCAAGTATAGGTCCAAAACAATGTGTGCACAGAGATTCCTCATCTTTTCTTCTAGGTTCTTAATGCAAAAACACCAGTAGCTAGATGAACAAGGGAGCAAATCTTGGTGTGCACACCCGCAGCTCTGAGCAGCTACTTCCCCTCCCAACAAATCGCCCCACTTCTTCTGCAATCATGTCATCTGGAGCTGATTTTTGGCCTCATGTTTAAAATGTTCTTTTATTAAGAATTGCCCCAAGTTTCTATAAGAGAATTAAATTAAGAATGGAATGGAATGGAATATTTCAGCATCTCCTTAGTTCTCAAGTGAGCCCCTTCCAGTCTGGGCAGGTAGCCCTGCTGAGAAGTGATCTGGTCCAACACCACAGTTCAGCTCATCTGAAGATGCACAACATTTCAAAGTGATTATTTTACCATTTTTCTTAATCATGATTGAGATCTTCCTCTTATAAAACAAAACTTTGCACCCTATGGTTGCCCTTTGTAAACATTTCATCACATGTATGTCTTCCTGTGTAGATGCAGTAAGACAGTTTTCCCTCTTGTGCCCGCATGGGACTGTTGGGGCCTGGCTCAGAAGCGGCACAGGCTCCTGAGTGGGCAGCTATGGGGGGCTGTGACGCCCTGGTGCAGGTCTCTAACTTGTAGAACAGGGATGAAAACAAGTCTTGATCAAGGTGATTTTGGAGAAAATGTGGAACTGTATGATGTATTTGTAAATGACAAACCTCCAAGGACACAGCAGTCCTCATCACCAAGAATAAATCAGAAACCATCTACTGGGGTATGTTAGCTTAACAAAACAGCTGCAAACAGGATCACTGAGATAAAAGCCCTTACGGAGCCCGTGCAGTGTGATGGGTACATAGGCCTGGTTGCAACCACACCTGTGCACCTGGATCATGATTTAGGTCAGCACAAACCCAAAATACTGGGATGAAAACTAGGACAGTACAGCAATGACCTCGCAGAAATTAAGGGACTCCCAGTTCCAGAACCTGACCAAGGTAGGAGCCCCAAGGGCGCGTGCTGCATGGGGAGAACTCTCACAGGTTCTCCACGTTCGCCCAGGGAGTGGCAGAGTGAAAAAAGGTCCAAACCCACTACCAGCAAGGAGCTCAGAGAGGCTGCACACCACCACCCACAGAGTCTTGGAGGAAGTCACCGCCTTAGGCCTCAGTGCTAGAGGGTGGGGAGGAGACACAATTCAGAGATCACACTGATGTTCCCTCGGAGACACCAAACCCTCAGGTCACAGGCTGATGCGTTGGCACCCACGAAAGCCCAGCAGGATCAAGAAGACTCCTCCACCCACCCAGGCCTCAAAGCGTTCCCACGAACAACTTCCAGGAAAACTGGCTCACAAGAAAACAATCACTACAGAGACAAAGAAATACAGTTCCTGAAGCAAGAGCAGCAGAAACAAGTAAAATCAGATGCACCATGACTTCAAATAGAAGAATTATCAGACACACACTCTGTGCAGCCTGCAACCACAAAGACCAAGGAGATATGAGATTAAAGCACAGAACTTTAAGGCATAAAAAATACATAATAACCAAAATGAAAATTCCAGGACCAGATTAACAGCAGGTGGAACTCAACCAAGGGAAAAATGAGCGAGATGGGGATTGGGTTGGGGACACATAACCCAGAAGGCAGCAGAGAGAGACAATGAGGCAGAAAACACAGGACTGCAGGGTCAGGGAGGGCAGGAGGATGGGGTAGAGGTGATGTTCAAAGAATAACAGTTGATCATTTCCTAAACTAGTTAAGAGATCAGTGCTCAGATTCCAGGTCAACAAATCCCAAAGCACCACAGTGATACTGCGGAACTCCAGAGACAGAGAAGAGCTCTTAAGAGGAAATAGGGAGACACACTAGATGGACGTCAGCTTCTCATCAACAACAAAAAAGCCAGGGCCAGGGAATACTGCTAATGTACTGAGAAAATAAATGTTAATCTACAATTCCAAACCAAGCAGTGGTCTTTCAGGAGTAAGAGTGAAACATGTGCATTGTGAGACAAACAGAAAACAACAGTGGTCAGTCAGGTAAGGCTGAAGGTCAGGGGAACAGAATTGCTCTTCTGGAATTGGAGGCTCAGGTGGGCACAGGTGAGGTCTGAAGTACCTGTGAGGTCATGACTCTGGGGAACTGTCCAAAGGTACTAGGATAAAGCCTCTGGAATGGGGACAGCTATGTGCTGCAGCCATGAACCTGACAGATGCAAGGCCTTGGGACTGGGGTTCCCAGGGGCGAGAGTGCAGACAGGTAGTTTTTAACATGACAGAAAACTGCAACAAAAGGAACAAACACACCCAGCAAACTTTGGGGACACATAACCCAGAAGGCAGCAGAGAGAGACAATGAGGCAGAAAACACAGGACTGCAGGGTCAGGGAGGGCAGGAGGATGGGGTAGAGGTGATGTTCAAAGAATAACAGTTGATCATTTCCTAAACTAGTTAAGAGATCAGTGCTCAGATTCCAGGTCAACAAATCCCAAAGCACCACAGTGATACTGCGGAACTCCAGAGACAGAGAAGAGCTCTTAAGAGGAAATAGGGAGACACACTAGATGGACGTCAGCTTCTCATCAACAACAAAAAAGCCAGGGCCAGGGAATACTGCTAATGTACTGAGAAAATAAATGTTAATCTACAATTCCAAACCAAGCAGTGGTCTTTCAGGAGTAAGAGTGAAACATGTGCATTGTGAGACAAACAGAAAACAACAGTGGTCAGTCAGGTAAGGCTGAAGGTCAGGGGAACAGAATTGCTCTTCTGGAATTGGAGGCTCAGGTGGGCACAGGTGAGGTCTGAAGTACCTGTGAGGTCATGACTCTGGGGAACTGTCCAAAGGTACTAGGATAAAGCCTCTGGAATGGGGACAGCTATGTGCTGCAGCCATGAACCTGACAGATGCAAGGCCTTGGGACTGGGGTTCCCAGGGGCGAGAGTGCAGACAGGTAGTTTTTAACATGACAGAAAACTGCAACAAAAGGAACAAACACACCCAGCAAACTCGATAAAGATGGGAAGTTTCTTACTCTAATGAAGGATGGTTTAAAAAGTCAGACTCTGCAGAAGGGTCACATCAGCAGGTCTGCACACCTCTGTCACGGTGCACTAAGGCCTGAGCAGCAGAGCAAGGCAGGTAGAAGAAAGGGAGAGCAGGGCCGGGGGGCCGCCGCACCACCACTCCTGCCCGAGGAACAGGAACTGATCCAGACTGTAGACTCAGAACTCAAGGCACAAAGGGTACGGACACACAGACCAAAGTGGGAACTTTTAAAACATGCTGTTCAGAAGAGCATCAGGAAACCCTAATTATTCAGGGATACAAACAACAATACCTATATGGAAAAATCAGAACTCGATTAAAGGGCATCAAAGGAGTTAAACAACAAAATATGTGTCATGTTGGTGAATCTGAAGTCAAGAATGTAGGCTGTCAGTTTTCCTCCAAACTGACCTGAGTCAATGCAGTCTGCTCTGCTCCAATTTCAGTACCTATGCTGCAAGCGAGCACCACCCCATGCAATTTTAGTAGAAACACTACAGTTTTGACTGTGGTGTTTGAACCTAATAAGCTGACTCAAAATAACATGAAGTGTGCAAGGAGCCCAGAGCAGCAGCTCCCCATGGAAGAGTTGGAGGGACTGCCTCCCAGATGCTAAGTCCCTCACGTAACCAAGCAATGAAGCTGAGCGAGGGCCCAGACACAGAGTGCTGGGAAAAAGTCCCCGCAGAGCTACACAAAGCCTGCACCGAGGTGCACTAGGGTCAGAGGCAAAGAATGGACACCTAGTAAGTGCTGCTGAAAACAAACAGGCAGGAGGAAAATTGAACTCCTAGTTTAATATCATCTGGAAAAACCAATTCTAGGAAAGTTAAAGACCTAAATGGGAAAAATTATTAACTGTTAGATGATACAGGAAAATAACATCATGAACTTTGGGAAAGACTTCTTAAGCAAGATGCTTAAAACACAAACAGTTTTATTCAGAAATGAAAAGACTGATAATAAATTCCAATACATTAAAATTAAGGACTTCTGTTTGTCCAAAGACTCCATAAAGTGAGAAAAGACAAGTCAGAGAAGACAGTGAGCATGGTGGCCAGCACCGTGCTGACACCAAGCCTGAAGGAGGGCCCTCCACAGGAGGGGAGATGGAGCCAGTCAGCGACTCATGGAAGACACAATGCGAAGGCCAAGTGCAGGACGAAGCTGAGTGACATACACGGGAACCACTGCAGAAGAAGCTCAAGGGCAGCCATGCTGATGCTCAGACACTGACCCTGTCCACCACGTTTACCTCCTGTGGGTGGCACGGCCAGGTGCAGCAGAGTGGCGAAGCGTGTGGCTTCATGAAGTAGAAAGATGGCAGCTGACTCCTGGAGGAGCCCCAAACACTGTCGAGGGCGCCACCACAGTGAGACCTCAGCACAGCCCCAGGCCACACCGTGGCAATCCACTGTGGCAAAGCTAGCAAGTAATTTCAGGGGACCGGCCTCTGAGAAGCAGTGGTTGATGGGGGCCACCTGGTTTTGTGCTCTGAATGCTGCACACTCCCCATGTGCCATCCCGACTGTGCGCTCCTCTGCAATCCAGCCCCGGGCTCACCCATGCTCACCTGGATCTGGGTTTGCACCTGCTGAGTCCCAGCCAGCTTCTGGGCCTGAGAGATGGGTGTGGTAAGGAACTGGGTTTTCAGGGCTGGCTGGGTAGCATAGGTGACCTTCTGTGCTTGGCCCTGAGCTGCAATCTGCTGTGCAGTGATCTGAAGGAAGAGAGATGCCTGAGGTGAGAGCCAGGTGGGGCCAACCCTTTGGCCCCACCTGCCCCAAACACCCAAAGCGTGGCCCTGAGCTATTCCATTTCTGCAGCTGCCCTTCCTGCCCATGCCTGGCCCATGAGTCATCCATCCCTCTCCCAGAAAAGTTCCCTCATCAGCCCAGGCTGGGGTTCACTACACCTCTGTGGCACTTGGTGTCATGTCCGCTCATCACTTAAGGGAGTGAACTTGACTGTGATATAGAAAATAGACACATACAATTTCTCAGATCTTTAAGAATTTGGCATATGCCCAAAAATACTTAGCCCAAGGGGCAGCAAACCTGTATGCAGTCTTTGCACATTTCATCTAATTTCTAGTCTTCTCTGCCAGGAGAATCTAAATAGTGCTCAGGAGACTACGCATATATGTGGACCATTTGGTTTACAAAGCTGTCGCTACATACAAGTGTTTTTTAACATCTTGTAAGTTCCCTTTCAAATTACACTGATGTGCAGACCAGCACCTTAGGTGAAGCCCTTCTATCTCCCTTCTAGACGTAAGCTGAGCCGACGTGATTACTCCAGTCCCACCTGCAGCATCTTCAGCCCTGTCACAAGGCCTCTCCACGTCCAGCCATGGCCAGCTCTGCCAGCTGCCCTGCACCCCGCTCCCACTCCTTGCAGAGCAAGCCCAGGGGACTGCTGGGAAGGACTGATTGGAGAGGTGACTCTGCGTGGTGTTTCCTTCCCAAAACTGTCGACCACAGGAGAAGGTACTTTGCAGAGGTGGTGCAATGACCGCTCTTTACTCAGAAGAGACACACCCTTCCTCCGGCCATGGCTCTACTTCGTGAAGAGGACATCTAAAGGACACGTGTCCAGTGTGGGCGTGCTGATGCTGTCAGGACAGCTCTTTCCCAGAGGCCATTCTGCTTTCCTGCTGATGTCCCAGACACCTTGGTCCTTGCGTGCCCTGTCCATCTTCCTACTCAGTGCTGCCCCAAGCCTCGTGCCCTCTGGGTGCCCACTGCCTCTCCCACGTTTGCTGAGTATACCCTACTTGCCCTGCTGTCCCCAGAGACCACAATGGTGTCAGCGATCTGTGCCACTGCAGCCCCACCAGAGCCAGCATGGTTCCTGTGGGGGGGAGCAGTGACACTCAGCAAGAGCTGTCCCAATGCAGATGATCAGCATGGAACCTCGGATTCTGACTGTTTAGCTTGCTGACTCCAGTCAAGTCGCTTCATTTCTCTGAGCTTCAATTTCCTCACAGTAACTTGCAGCTGTGTTCTGAGCACCAGAGCCAGATGCCCACAGAGCTCTCAGCTCACAGGGAAAGAACACGGTGCATCACCTCGCATCTCACTGCCAGCTGCCCACTAGCAGACCGTGTGTTCTAGTGCCAGTTCAGAAAACAGTATGAATACTATAGCAATTCAAGTACCAAAAAGTTATTGTCGGTATATTGGGCTTTCCACTATCAGAAGTAAACAAAGTACCTCGCCCTCCTCCTGCTCATCAACACAGTGCTTGTGTGCCTATGCCCCAGCATGGCCACTGAGGACATGGCTTTGGGGCCTGAATCAGTTAAGAGCTGCCTCCCAGACTTCCCTGAGGCAGTGAGAGGCTGACAGCACCTCCTCACCTCAGGCCCATTCTTCCTCACTCTCCCCTCCTCCCACCCTCCAATCACACACACGCAGCAGCATAATCCAGACCTGGCTCCTTGCCTGAATACAAGCTTGGCTGTGGCCCCACTCTGGGTCTGCCTGTTTTATATACCAGGAGCCCAGTTATGCCACAGACTGTAAGCTACACCTGCTTCTCTGAATCCTTCTGGCCCCTACCCAGCTGTGCAATTCCCAGTCCGCATCCTCCCCATCTTGTAACCCACCCTCCTTCTAGGACCCTGGAGAAACTCCAACCCTCTCTGTGCAGCCCAACCACACGACCATGGGGTCGCCTGTGCATGCTGCCAGGCAGTGAGGCAGAACCTATTCAGGACCCTCTCGTTCTCCTTGCTCCCTGTGCCTACTGGCAGGGCCCAACTCGGTGTAAAGACAAGATGACACAAGGATGCCACACAGGAACCCAGTACCTTCTGCTGGACAGCTGCCGGACTTGGGGTGGCCTGGGGCTGGATGGCTTTCTGCTGCTGGACGGCTTGCTGCTTGAGCTTTAGCAGCTGCTGAACATGCACAGGCTGGGCCACAACAGTCTGTCCTGCAAACACCAATCAAGTCTTTTAGTTACAAGTAGGGTCAAGGGTCTCAGGGCTCACATGAGATTCCCTACATCTCCCTCAGTCGCTGAGTTGTTCAGACTCATTTCTGTACAGAGAACTATACACTGAAACAATGATGAGACAACTAAAACCATCGTGCACACACACTTAAATTGCTTCTAGTTTCACAATGCCATTTGGATAAAGGTACGGGTCATTCAGAATGTTAATGGTTACACCTAGAGCTAAACTTCTACTCAGGAAGCTCCGAGACACTTCAACTAAAATATACCACAGCATGACCCAAACAGGAGTCTGTCACAGGGACCAGCAGCCCAGCGGCCACTTCTAGAAGAGACTTGACAGCCCCACTGAGGCTCTAAGCAGAACAGTGATGAAGGGTGACAGGTACCTGTGGCTTTCTGCGGCTGCCCAATGGCCACACTGATCCCAGCAACGTTCATGGGCAGGGTCGTGACGCCCGGCGAGGAGACCACGGCTGCAGGCACAGACACCACTGGAGGCTTCGCCAAGGCCACCTGAGCTGGCTGGGGTGCCTGAGCCTGCATCTGCCCTTGAGCCTGCAGCTGCGAAGTGGGAACCCGGGTCTAAACAGGGAAAACAATGGGAGAGTCCAGAGAAATTCAGGATACCCTGTATCTTTGCAAACATTTCTCCACAAGAGGTCAAGTGGTGAGAAATTTACAAAGATTCACAAAGGTGAAAAATGCCAGTCAACTAAAGGAAAAGTCACTGTAAGCTGACTTATGCTTCTTAACCCTTCATTGGCAGATGCAGGGAATGGGGTTGGCAAGACCTACAAGCTAATTAACCATGCTGACGTTCAGATGTTGATCCTATCTCCCTCCGTCTCCGGTACCTTGAACTCACCCACAGTGCTGTGTTTCCTACAGAATACCATTTCCTATCCTTAGGCTACAAACTAAAGATTAGTGCACTGCCCCTTTCACCAAGACTGCTGCCACTGAAGCCCACCTATGGATGCCACTGCCTACCACTTGGTCATCACACTGCCACCAAGCACTTTTTTCCTTAAGTTACATCTTAAATAGATCCTTTTGTATATGTACAAAAACTCAGACTACCCAAGAAAATGTAAAAATCACTCATAACCCTAAAACTGCCCACATATGAATGTGAAAACCAGTATGTAGACTACCAGAACTTGTTCTTATCTATGCGGCTTGCTGGGAAAGTATGGAAAATGGGATGAATTGCAGGTATTTCATAATGTTTGTCTTCCTTTTACAGTCCTTTTCCAAAGTCACTTACTACTCCATTGTGTGTATGCTCTACAAGGTACGCATATGGACTTCTTAGTTACGGACACCAGAGTTTCCTCTAACACTGTTGAAACAAACAAGTTTGTCTATTCACCACTTTGTACTTATTCTATTACTTCTTTGCAGTGTAAGAGGAACAGGATCATTGGGTAAAATGGTATGTGTGTTTTTTAACTCCATTACTAGAATCCCCTACAGAGAGGGCGGTTCCTGTCTGACAGTCCTGTGTGAGGAACACGCCTTCCCATGCCCTGTCCACCACGGGATGACCATTCTTTTCATTTGAATTTGCATTTTTTTGTGAACACAGGTGAAATCTAACTTGCTTTCACAGTTTTTATTCACTTCTACCCCCTCTTGCAGACTGAAAATGGAGGTGAAGCACACACGAAGCAGAGCCTGAGCACCCAGACCCCCATATCCGAGTTTGAGTTGTAGATAGCTATGTGTAGGTTTTGGACAAGTTACTTAAGCTTTGTGCCTCAGTTCCTCCACCTGGAAGATGGACTTAACATCATGACACCCACTCCTGCCTTGGCTGCAGTCCATGAGCGCTAAGCAGGTGACAGGTGTGAAGCCTGTGGCAGCTCCTGGCCCGGAGCAGGACCTCAAATGCTGGCTGTCAGCAGTGCCTGAAGTGGGCTCCCAAGCTTAGTGCTGCTTTGCCTGATGTGACAGTGTCTGACCCACAGGACACTCAGTCAACGCTTGTTGGTTGTAACTGATCTTCCCAGACACTATTTTCACCCTGATTATTCCCTTCCTCAGGAAATGCCCACAAAGCACTGTGACACCTAAGCCTTGCCCACCTCTGCCCATCCTCCTTCACCGGAACCTCTTTTCCAATCACGTGGTCTCATCCTTGCAGCTCTGCCCCAGCAGCACCAGGCCGCCGCCTGCAGGCCATGTCTCACCCTCCTCCCCCGTCAACCCCAACATGAATCCTGCCTTCCATCCATGGTCCACTGCACTTCCCACCTCCCCCAACCGCCCACTGCAGGCTTTGTGACACCTGAGTTCTGGGAAGTACAATGATTTAAATGTTCCCCATGTGCTTGCTGTGTTTCATCCTCTCCAAGAAAAGGTAAGTTCCTAAGGGGAAGAGCATGTCTTCTACTTTACGTGTAAGGCCACCATAATACCTAACGTCCTGAGCAAGCAATCACAGTTCAATTAAAATGGAAAAGGACGCTGCTTTGGAAAAACTATCAACTGGAACTTACGAGCCGAGCCACCTGGAGGTTGGCCACGGTGGTGCCCGTGAGCAGGGCTCCGGGCCTCGGGGCCGTGACCGTGGTGAGCTGGGGGCTCTGCTGCGGCGCGGGCGGCGGGGGCTGCACCTGCACTTGTGCCGTCGGCGGCGGGGGCCCCGGTGGGGTCTGCGGCGGGGGGGTCTGCTGGGGCAGCTGCAGTTTCTGCTTTTGCATTTTGATTAGGTGCTCCTAAAACCCAGATAAAGGATCTTTTCATCAATATTAACTGTATTCCACTTTTTATATATCTTGGTTTTAAGTTACTGTTGCACTAGCCATTAAATACCAAAGTAAGCAGTTGCTAATAAGCCATATGGAAACCATCGTCCAGGGCCTTTTCATTTTAGAAATGTTTCTTCATTAAGAATTAGCATATTGTCCATGAAAACTAGAAATAGTGAGCCTGATAAGATTAGTAAATTCATTCCAAGATATTTAGGTTCTTACCACTCACAAACAAGTCCATTTAAATCTGTAGTACCATCAAAATTTTTTCAAGTCCTAAAATCATGGTCCCTCTTGAAATCTTAAAATTTGGGCATCAGCTCTCAATTTTCTATTCTGTCTGTCTCCAAATGAAGATTTAAATAATAAAAGAAGTCAAAACATCAAGATATCAAGATAGTTCAAAAATATTTTAAGGACCAAATATATTTTTAGAAAATTTATACCAAGTGGTTTGTGACTCTCAGATCTCTTTCAACATGCTGAAAATAAAAATGACTTTGAGACTGATTCAGGGAAGGGAAGAGTAGAGAGTAAATGAATCAGGCAGATAATCAATCAGGGATTGGGATCATGGTAATACTCGGAGGAACCTGAGAGGGGGAAGGGAGGGAAGTAGGGTAGAGGAGGGCAGAGCTGGGCCTGGTCCCCAGGGGGTGCTGCTCCCCCTCCCCTTAGGGAGTAAGTGGGCTTCTGGGCTGCTGAAAGAGGGTGGGCCGGGGCATTTGAAGCCCAAATGTCAGAGAGAGCAGAGCATAAGCTGAGGACAGGAAACAGGGGTCCCTGTGGCTTCTCAGTGCTGACAACTCACTGACTCTGTAAGTTAGCACAGTTACCTAACGGAGTACTGCTCAACAGAATTTTCTGCCATGATAGGCATGTTCTAGATCTGGGCAGTCCAGTACAGTGGTCCCGAAACCTCAGAATGTGGCTGAGTGCTTTCTTTGGCATGCTGTTTCTCTGGTGCTTGTTCTGGCGCCTCACGGGTGGAGCCCCAGCTCAGTGCTAGCTCACCCTCCAGCACACCCTCTCAGCCCTCCTGTAACCAAGAAGGGGCAAACCCAACAGCTGGTGGGAATCCTAAAATCCTGCCTTGTTTTTATTACACATCCTTCTAGTCTCTCTATGGAAGCATTAATACCTTCCCACCCACAGCAGGAATATACTATCTCCTTTGAAAATCAATGATTTACATAGAAAACAGCACAGGTGGGAAAAATCAGGAACACCATATTCAGTGACTGGCTCTGAGAAACGCTACCACAAATGCCCTATTCCTAAAGAAGCCAAGTTCCTCACTGCCTCCTCTCTGAAACAGAGGATTCCTTCCCACCAGCATTTTCTCTGGTTGGGAAGAGGACTGAGGTCTCCTAGTCCTCTCTGGAGCCTGAACTATGTGCAGAGTGCTAGAGTGTGGGTGGAAAGGCGCATCTGGAGAGGGAGGCAAGGCCCCCGGAGCGCTACGGAGCTGGCCACGGCCTCATGGGAGTAGCACTGGATGGTGAGTGTTATAGACACACAAACACACTTCCACAAAGAGGACACCACGGCAGGCTTGCCAATACATTTCAAGTGGAGTGACACAACAAGGCCCATCCCAGACAGCGTGTGTATGCTTTTCCAGAAGATGCTCACCGGGGTTAGCTTGCCCACAGCTTTGATCTGTGTGGGCGCCTGGGCCTGGGGCTGGGCCTGTGGCACCTGGGAGGGCGGTGGTGGGGGTGGCGGCTGCCGGAGGAGCTGGAAGTGTGCCGGTGTAATGGTCTTCCCAGGCAGCTGCACACCTGTGGCTGGGGAAGCCACACATTAGATGGCAGCCCATGCTTCCCCTTCCTCCCACAGCATGGAGCTCCAGCCCTGGCTAGCATTAGCAGCAGGGTGGGTCACACAGGAAACAGAGCCTGCCTTTACCTTGGGACACTTGAGTCACCAAAGACCGGGTCGGAGTCTGCACTGGGGTTAGGCTGGTAGTGACCACAGCTGAGGCTGTAACAGAGGTGACTGCTCGAACACCCTGAGTTGGTGGCAGGGTCACCAGGTCGGATGTGGCTGTGGCTGGGGAGCCCACTGCTCGTGGCTGGGTGTGGACCCCCTGGGCAGGAGCAGGGCCTCCGGAGGTCTGGAATGGCAGAAGGAGACCATGAGGTTACCCTGCACTCTTCTTCCAGGCTCTTCACAGCCATCGATGGAAAGAAAAGGGCACCAAACCCAAAGCCAGGAAATGCAGTGTAGCTAGAGGCCAGGCCCAAGACACAGTGCTGAAGAAGCTTCACTGTAAACTCAAACCATGTGCCTTGGGTGCTGGCATGCACTGGCTGACTACAGAAAGAAGAGTACAGCTTCAGATGCCACACCCCTTCCAAAATGTTGCCTGTGCCTCTGTCCCGACTCATGGGGCCTTTGGGTCCCAAGGATCATTTCAACACTTCTGACCATCCTCTGGACAGGAGGCCCCATTGCACACATACATTACAGGTCACTGGTCACTGCTGCCTGTGGTGCTGACCCCCCAGCACTGTTCCCACTGAAGCCCCTCATATCCTTAGTGACAGGCAAAGGCTCTCTCTACTTATGGACTCAATCCTGCTCCATGGACTTATATCAACACCACACTGTCTGGATTACTAGAGCAACACCTTTGTAGGAAGACACTGTCCCTAACACTAGAGGGACATCATCTCACCTGCCAAACCACTGCTGACTCTGGAGCCACTTGTCATTCAGGGCACACGTTTCCTCTGGATGAACTAAACTAAGCTAGAGACCAGGTGGTAAATGTAAACTCCCCAGTCCCAGCTACTTATTTTTGTCTTTTGTGGCAAAACACCAAAGGCAAGGAGATGGCTGGCTCCAGGCTGTGTCTCGGTGAGCATCCCACTCCTCTTGGCTATGTGCTTGGGGTCTCACAGCTCCATATTGTCACCTCCACCCACGTTTGGCATCTGCTTGCTCCCCACGCTGGCGTTTGGACTCCACATAAGCTAAACACCCCCACCCCATGCCTTGCCTGGCCCTCCTGAGATACCCCCGCCCCTGCAATGTCCCCAGGAACAGCCCTCTCTGCATCCCCATGCCCCAACCAGGCCAGTCTGCTACCATGACAGGCAGGCACCCCATCAGCCAACCTGCCACCCTCATACCCACGGCCTCCTCTCTGGAATGCTATGAGAGTTTCAACATGTGCCCTGGAGCATCATGAAGGCAGGGTCCCCCGAATGTCAGAATGCCCACTTATGACATTGAAACCAGACCAGTACTCTCTGAACTAATGGTATTGCTTTTAAAAAAGCAAACAACTTCCACAGTCTCAGGTCACATGTGTTGTCAACGTGCCCAGGAGCAGGGACAACTCACAGCCAAGGCTCCAGGTGCCACGGGTGAAGACAGGCGTTTGTTAATCGACTGGAAGGTGGCAGCAGGAACGCCTGCAATGGTGTTCACAATCACATTTCCGCTCACCGTGCCTGTGGGGAGAGAAGGTGTGAGGCAAGAGGCAGGAGGGACCCATCTGCACCATAGCACCATAGCACCCCTGGCTGCTTACCCGCTGGCATGCTCGTCCCGGGGACTGAGGTTTTGATGGCTCCTGTCTGCTGGAGAGAGCACCGTCTGAGTCTCAGCTGAGCCCCCATAAGCCCTCCACAGCCTGTTTCATCAGAATCAGATCCCAACTCCTAACCAGGGTCACCTGGTCCCACGCCAACTCTAGCCCTCGCCTACCCTACTCCCATACCACTGTGTCCATCCCTCTGTCCCCAGGCTCCATCTCAGTGGCCCTCCTGACCTCATGTGTACCAAGCCTGGGGCCTCTGCAGTCTGTTTCCTTTCTTTTCTGACCAAATCCTGTCACTCAGCCCACAGTCTAGGGACCAGCTCACACAGCATCCCTCCGTGGCCACCTGCCACTGTTCTCCTGGAGTCTTGCCTGGCTGGGCTGCCTGCCCCAGTGGAACATGACTCCATGGGAGCCAGAGGCAGGCCTCATACCAAATAGGTGCTTAGTGAGCACATTTTCTGATCGAAGAATAAAGCTGCCCCAGCACACATAAAAATTCTGCTACAGCAAATATTACAAGGGGAGAAACGTCTACACAACAAAAACATCTCCATGCCTGGCTGACAGTGCAAAGAATTGGGGCTTCCCTCACAGGCAGGTGCTGGCCCACTGTGTGTTGTGCCTGTGTCACACAAGCCTGCACCCCAGGACACACGCAGGGTCAGAAGGAAAGTTTGCATGCTGGCACAAACCGCCTGCTCTATGTTTACAGGGAGGAAAGGAGAGACTCCTTATAGCTACGTTTCACAGACTCCTAACCCCAAGCTCTCCTGTCACTCTGTCAAGAGCTGCCTCAACCTCCCACATGGCCCCGGGCCAGAGCCGAGAAGAGACCCCCAAAGGAGGGACTGCTTGTGAGCTGGCATCCTGTGGGACCTCAGCAGGGGTTCCCTTGACCTCAGGCACCACACTGGAGGGTGCCTCCTCACCAGCACAGCCGAGCCGCCCACCGTTGTGATCGCAGGAGGCACCTTCGGTGGGGGCTGTGGGGGCTGCACAGGCTGCTGCTGGGCCTGCGGCTGGACAGCGGTTGGCCCTGCAGGCTGCTGACTCCCTGCCTGGGGCTGGGGCAGAGGTGGAGGTGGCTGCTGGGGCGGCGGAGGCTGCGGCTGCGGCGGGGGTGGCGGGGGCTGGGCCACGGGCGGCTGCTGCACCTTCTGCTGATCAGCCAGCGCCTACAGAGTTGAAGAGAAAAGGAGCCATGTGGAGGAGCCTGGCCCTGCAGCCCATGCCTGGCTGGCACCCATTCCAGTCACACCCAGCCGCCCCTCTGTTGGGCGGCAGCTCAACAGTCCATACCTTTTTCTCTTTGGCAATTCGCTCCGCACGGAGGGATGCAACCTGGATCGGAGGCAGTGGTTTGTCGTAGTTGATTCCACTGAAAGACACAACCCTAAGAATCAAAAACAAACTAGCCAGTTCTAAAGTATGTAATATTCTAGGAGCCCAAAGCACTCGCTCAAGAGGCCAAGCACAGTGAGGCATTGCCATCAAGCCCCGAGGGCGGTGCTGAACAGATCAGCTGGGAGAGAGAAAGGCTGCCACAGTCTGCCAGAGACCATGGCTCCCACCCGCCTGCAGAGGTTTCAGATGGCAGCTGGCCCAGCAGCAGCTCTCAGTACGGAGTCCAGGAGATGGCTGCCTCAAAACACGGAAGGAAAGAGCCCTTCAGTGCCACACACCTCTTGTGAACCACCCAGCCTGCCAAACTGCCCACCTGCTCCAGGCTGGCCTACCCTTGGCCAAGCTTCAGTCTTGTCCACGGTGCCGTGCCCAGGCCCTGCCCCGTGTGCTAGACGCCATGTCTGCGAGACCTGGGCACATGCATGCCCAGTCCCCTGTGGGTGACCCTCACAGACCAGTGCCACAAGAGCCCCACAGTCTATATACCCTCATGGAACCCCCCTACCCCCGCAGAGACTGTCACTACCACCTCGATTCCTCTTGTCATGGCACCGACTGCACTTAGGGAACACCTTCTCACCTGCATCAGCCCATTCGGTACCCCTGCCTCACTATAAAGGCGACTACCCTGAATCATATGGTGAGGCTGCAACCACACGAGACCCAGTCAGCCTGCTCCAGGCAGCCCAAGCACCTCCACTGATGCAGGGAAAGCCGCCCATGCACTGCACGCCCCTCAGCAGGCCATCGCCCCAGGACCAAGGCCTGGCTCTGCTCCTTACTACACCTGCCCACCCATCCTTGGTAGTGGTGGCCTGGGAAGCCCCCAAACCCACCCTGCTGCTTCACCATCCCTCCTTGCTCTGCCTACCAGCACCTGGAGATGACCCCCCCAAAACCCCTGACCTGAACTAAAGGCACAAGAACAGAACTTGTGCCTTCAGTTTGGTTCAGATCCTAAGCCCCAAGACCCCCCAAGGTTGCACTCGCCTCATGGCCTCTCAGCATCCTCCTGTTGGATGCGCACCACCCACCTTCCGTCTGTCCTCAGCCACCTCCCCACTGGCAGACCCCACCTTGGTGGCACCATCCCTGGCTGATGCCAAGAAACACCATTCATACAGAAACGAGCTGACCCCATTGGGCCTCATAGACACACACTGAAGCCCCTTCAGCTCATGAGGCCTGAGCCACAGCCCCAGGTACCTCTCTGCCAGCACGGAGGCGTGCTTTGGATTCTTCTGGAAGGGATTCATGCCGAGCCTGCATAGAGAGGGCAGCAATTATGACAAGTCACAGAAACCACCTTCCCGCCACCAACTTGGGCATAACCAACAGGGCACAAGAACTCGGGAGGCGCACAGAGGTTTGATAGGGGGACTCCTCTTCCCAGCTGTCATCTTCATCAGGTCAAAGTGGCTTGTGTACAGCTGGGTGTGTGTAGCACTTTCATCCTGTGCGTACATCTGGCCCGTGCGCAGAGGACGGTTATTTTTACTCTGAAACAACATTGGCGGCGACACGTCAGAGTCAGGCAGGGCCCTAAGAACAGGAGTCCCTGATTCAGAGGCCTGACCCTAACCCCGTTTAAACACAAAGTTCCTTCTGAGACCACATACATGCAGCAGCAGTGACACCAGTGGCCACCATCTGCCAACCGCTGACACCACTCCTGGATCTATGCTAGGCCTTTCTGCACGCTGCCTTGTTAAAACTCATGATTGAGATGGGGAGAACACCCCCCCACACACATTGCTGAGGAAAGACAAAAGTTGGGCAAAGTACCCGAGGACATACAGCAAGTGATGCCAAGCCCATGAAAACCAAGTGGTAGTGTTCTCCTTGTGGCCTCTGCCCAGAGCTGCCCAGAAAGGGGACAGATGCTTGGTGGAATCTGGCCTGCTCTTGGGTGCTTTGCACTATTTGTGCCTGGTGAGCTTGCCTTCCTAAATCCCACAGCTAAGCCAAGTGCCTCCATGCTCCCAAGACCTCTCAGCAACCTAAAGAACTTCACACCACTCCTCATGCCATGGAGAAAATTCTAGTCTTGCAATACAGCATGCACAAGGCCAGAGGGCTAGTGCTTGTGTCAGAGCTAGGCCACGGGGCTCCTCGGACTGTCCTCTGTGTCTCCAAGCTCTGCCCATTCCCATAACTGGGAGTTATATACAGCATGCCCACATGAAAACCAAGACTCCGAGACTGACAGAACACAAGTCCCTTATGAGAGAGGGTTGGCGTGTACATACACATACACCTCCATGTGTCCTCTGTGCTAAATGAGTGCCTTAAACTTAGGAGGGCAACACCGAAGGAGGATCAAATCTGTTAAGCCAATGTGTGAGGCTGGACTGTGCATTCCTGGACGCTGGACCCAACACGCAAGTGCCCCCAAGTCATAATGAAGCTACACTAGAAAAATGGAGTGGACAGGCGGGGTAAGACCAGGTGCGAGCAACCAACGCCAGAAAGCAAGCCCAGGTCAAGGTCGGCAGGACATCCAGACAATGAAGGGGCTCCTGCTCTGTTTCTGCCTAAGTGTAAACTGCTCCATCTCACACACTGCCCCACCTGACACGTGGAGCCAGTGGGTAGTGGGGAGTGGGGAGGGACATATGCGGAGGGGTGCAGGACCTGTCAACACAGGCATCTGAACCACCAGCAACCACAGGACTACAGGGGATGGGGGCAGGCTAGAGCACGGGATGACCCCATCCTTCCAAGCAAAGCAGCAGGCATGCTCCATACAGCAACGAAGGCATGCAAGAACATTCTGGATTTCACATATCTGCTGGCTCTGAACTGTAGGCTAGCCTGAACCTCCCTGTACACTCTGCTGCACAGGGACCTACTCAAGGTTTCCTGATTTACTCAGTACCCGGTGAACACACCTCACACCGGATGAACACCTCTGCCTTTTTCATTAGATGAGCTTCATACGTGACTATGACAGAAGATAAAACCTTAGCTGTATGTTTCCGCATGTTAAAATTACGGCTATTACTAGAAATGCTTCTAAAGCCAAAAAGCTTGACACACATTTCCAAAAGTCTTGTTGGTGAAGGCACACAAAACAGTGTTCTGAGGATAACTAGCGTTTTTCTTGTTTCTCAGCAAAAAAACCAAACACGTGACTTATTTTCAGACAAATGTTTTCAGGAAAATGAAAACTGAGATGATGCCAAGAGTGCTTAGAGAAATAGTTTTCACAAATTCGAAATACAAGAGCAAATTTCATCAAGGTACAGAGTGTCTGCCTGTGCCATGTCAGCCCCACCAGTGACACACAGGTGTGACCATGTCTCCTGCTCTGATGGGACATCTATTAGTGGAAGTGAGGTCAACATCCCCAAAGGACATGTGCTTCTCATGTGGAGGCCAGGGACATGCCCCTGAGGAGATGAGCAGGGGAACAAATGCAAGTCAGGGGGCTTGCTGACCAACAGTGTGCACTCTGGGCCCAGGCCTTGAACCACTGGTAGCTTCCTGATGAGATGCCCATTCGTCGGCCTCTCTGCAATGCTTGCAGATGCCAGGAACGGGGGTCTAGCACTTGGGCAGTCCCAGCAGTGGCTGCGGCACAGCAGACTTCTGTCCAAATGCACTAACAACAAAACAAATGCCTTTCTTTCCATCCAATGCTTTCAGAAAGGGGGTGGGGGGCAGTGGAGACAGGACCAGCCCTCAGCAGCTAACACAGAATATTCTGTATGGCTAGGCAGCATGGATACCTCCCAGTGGGTGAGGTCGCAAGCGCTGGACCACAGCCTGATAGAGGTGAGCAAGCTGGCTGCCCATGAGACCCACACCAGGCTTGGGGCAGCAGCACCCCCTCCCTCACTGAGGAGCTCTGCAAGGGCCTTCTGGGCTCGAGGAGCCCTGCCTCACCTTCCCCTCCTCTCTTGGGATGAGCACATTCTCGTAGCGGTTCCGGCACTGCTTGGAAGAGCGGTAGATCCGACTGCAGGAGTTGACCACATCGCTGACAAGGTCCCAGTTAGGTGTGTGAGCCGGGGACACGATCGTAAGGTTCAGAGGCAGCTCAAGAAGCTGCTTCACAGCCTGGAGGACCATGTTTCAGTGTCATAGAGACGATAAGCTGCCCTCTCAAAGGTCCCGATGGAGACGGGTATGACAGGAAGGGGCCCCGAGTCCATGCATAGAGGGCAGAGGGCTCACCTGCAGCAATGCCCAGTCCTCGCTGATGAGCCACTCAGGGTTGTCTGCAGCTGCCTCGGCTGCTGGCTTGGCAAATGCTGGCAAAGGCTTAGCGAACTGTGTCTGCTGCTTCAGCAGAACGCTCTTCTTCTCCTTGCCTTCTCGACGGATCCTCAACATGCCCGGCGTTGCCCGGTCAAACAGCGACCGGGGAGGAACGACGCCCTCCCCGTGGCGTTGCTTCTTCCTCCTGCCTGTGGCTGAGTAGAGGCGCTGGGTCAGTGAGGCTCCCCAGGCACCACCCAGGAAGCAGGTGCCCCACCCCACACTCAGGGCCAGACCACTGTGGGTAAAGGGAGGCACCTGAGGGGTCTGTCTTGTGCCGCCGGCGTTCCTTCCTCACAAACACAGGCGGCAGCTTGGACTCTGGGATGGGAGTGGTTTCATACATGAGGCACATGACTGAGTCGATGTAGAGGTCATTGTCGTCCTGGGGGGGTGTGGGCGGGGTCCAGAGCTGCATGGAGAAGGGAGAAGGAGTGAGCTGCACGTTGCCTAGAGGTGGCAGCACGCGCAGGAAGCAGGCACTCACCGGCATGACTTCCACCTGCCCATCAGCACCCTCACAGACGAACTCCTGCAGAAAAGAGATGTTTTCAGTAGGACACAGCCTTGGGTTCATGCTGTAAGCCACCAATTACATGCCTTCCTACCCATTAAGTCTCCAAAGTGAGGGTGACAGATGTCACTGTTGATAAGACTATTTGTAAGATGTGCCTTAGTCACTACTGGCAATTCTCAGGAAAAAGCCTGCAGATGCCTATAAAGCTCTAGTTGCGCACAAATCCCACACTGGCTTTTGTGGGGTGCAGACAGGGCCTCTGCAGGGCCATACCGCACTGTAGGCATCCTCCCGCGTGTAGGTGAGCAACTGTTCCTGCTCATGCTCCTGCCGCGCCTGGGCCGCCCGCTCCCGCTGGCTTCGTGCATTCTGTGCCTCCCACTCAGTCACAGCGGTCAGCACGGCGTCCTGGCAGGCAGAGCATGGGAAAGCCCATCAGGTGCCATTCGTACCTCGGGAGTTCCCTGGTTACACCCGCCACCTCCCTTCCAGTGCAGTGGCCAAATGCAGACAGAGAAGCTGTGGGGTATCACCAGTGAGCCCCGCCCCATCTATGCTGACATTTCTGGACCCTAACACACAAGCCTCTATTGAGCTGTTTTGAATAAAAATTGCCCACTCAGGGTTTTCTGAGACTTCCCACTTTCAGTGGTTTCTGTACTGGTGGGTTTGGTTCCTACGAACTCTGGGCGAGTCACATTTGCTTCAAACCAAATTAACATGAAGGATTAGGACAGCCAGAAGCCCACTCTTACCTCATTGTTCCTCCCTCTGTCTGGATCAAGGGAGGTGTGGAACAATTCCAGGTAGTTCAGAGCATACCTCTCAATAGGCGTAAGCTGTTTCAAAACACACTTTTTGAATAGTGTTAAGAGCAGGTTAACACCTCCCACCAATACCTGAATCAAAAGTAACCATCTTGAAGGGGGTATTATGATTAGTATGTATAATGTGCGGGGGAGGAATGGGGAGGGCTGTGCAACAGAGAAGACAAGTAGTGATTCTACAACATCTTACTATGCTGATGGACAGTGACTGTAAATGGGGTTTGTGGGGGGGATTTGATGAAGGGGGGACCCTAGTAAACATAATGTTCTTCATGTAATTGTAGATTAATGATAACAAAATAAAAACAAAAAAAAACAAAAAAAAAACAAAAAATGAAACCAAGGAGAAAAAAAAAAGTAATTGAAAAACTAGCTCTAATAATTACAAAAAAAAAAAAGTGACCATCTTGATCAGAGTAAACATGAGCTATTTCCTAAAAGGGTCTAATGTCTCAAATATTTATGTAAAAAGAAACAAAAGTTGAGCACAAAAGAGCAAACGCCCATACCTGCTCCATGAAGTCAGCTAATTCCTCACGCTGTGATGATGTCTCCTCCCACTGTAGATGGTCCATGCCTGGTGACTCTGGTGCAGCTTCCTCCACAGGTTTTTGTAGGTCCTCCTCCAGATACTCAATGCTCTTGAGGGCCTGAAAGATCACGTGTCCACAGTACCAGGGCATGTGTTTATCAAGGGGGTTTGAATAGGGCTGTGCAAAAGAAGCTAACTGGATGACCCACTGCACACTAGCCCCAAGGGGACATGCCCATCCTCGTGTCACCTCCGACATGGAAAGCCAGCTCTGAGGGGCAGAGAATACCTAAGAAACTCACTGCCGTGAGAGACCGGGATGACCAAAGCCACTTCACTGGCACACACAACAGAGGGCCCAGGCCCTGAGGACAGAGCAGTCCCTGCCAGCATGGCTAGTCTGAGTCTGACCAACGAGGACAGTTCTCTGTGATGCAGGAGGCAGAGGCCACTGTCCACAGCACAGACAGGACCAGTGACCCATCACAGCGGCCAGAGCCATGTCCTCCGACAGCATGGTGCCTACAACCAGACAAGCAAGGTAGTCCGCATGTCATCACAGCCTAACAGAGGCAAGTTACGGCCAGGAGCACACACCTACCTGGCAGGTGCTGGAGGATGTGGAGACAACATTGAGGATAAAGAGTTTCTGGTTAGAGCTATCAGCTATGCCCTGGTACAACCTCTTTCCAGGACAATTTGGCACAATTTGCAAAGTCTGAAACATACCCTTACCTCACACCACATGTAGAAATTATTTCCAAATAGACTATACATCTACCTATGAAGAACACAACACTGACATATCCAGACAAGAATAAAGGAGAACATCTTGGCAGCAGCAGGGTACAGGGCGCCTCTCCTCAGCAGGGCACAAAGCACCAACCACATGATAAGGATGGCACAAGGATCGAAAGCTTCTTTCTGCTCATTGGCAGACAGCATTAAAAAGGCACACCGCAGGGTGGGAGAGACACTCTGCACATGTCCAACAATATATGAAGAACGCCAACCAATAAGTCACTAAGACAGAGACAACCTGGAAAAGCCAGAAAAGAACCATCATGGGCAGAGGTACCCACACTGAGCGTGGGTACACAGAGGGGCAGATCCATCAGCCAAAGCCACATACAAATTAAACCTCACACTATCATGTGCCTGCCAGGCACTCTGGCACCACCAGCACAGCCCCTTCAGAAAACTCTCTGGCAGCCTTGTTAAGTCAAACATGAGCTCACCTGATGCCCGGGACTCCAGCCCAAGGCACAGGTTAGCACAAATAAACACATGTCTATCCAGACACATGGAGAAAACAGCTGCATGATCCCATCATGTCCACAGGCAGCGGCCCTGTAAAGAAACCGTGGCCACCCTACAGCAGCATGTCGCCAGGCGATGGGAACACATGAACGTAGGGAGGGATGCCAGGCCCACAGCAGACTCCACTCAGACCGCAAAGCCACAGCCACACTGCTGGGAGAGCAGCTCTTTGGGATGGGAGTGGTGAGAAGGGATGCGGTTCTGGTGGGCTGGCCACCTGGGTGCTTTTCCTCGGGGAAATCTATCGAGCTAATCTGCACAACATGTATACTTTTCTGTGTGTTTTCATACTTCAACAAAATTCTTACTTAAGGTAATTTTTATGTACGATTCCTCTGGTGGGCATGGCTGCGCCAGCACCTTCAGCCAGAAGCTATGGATGCTAAGCAGGGACAACTTATGTCAGTGGGACCCTGGGGAGGCAGCTACCCTCAATGGGGGCACACACATCCAGAGCCTCCAGCCCTTCTGGCTTTCAGCTGTCTGCACCGCCCCACGACTGCATGTGCCCTATGACGGTGTTACCGCCCCAGCCCATGAACTAGCTCCATCTTATCTCAGCACAGAGCCAGCAGGTGGTCGTTTCAAATAACATGCCCAGGTCAGGCCTTACCTATATGGACCCTGGGCCCCACCTGACCTCTGCTGACCCAATCTGTGCCACCCCCACAACACTCCCTGCTTGGGCAGCTGCTCCATGCCCGTCCCCACAAGGTGTGCACATTGGGCATGTGCTCGCTGACATGTGGCCTCTTCCCTCACAGAAGCAAGCCTCCCAGAGGGTAAGATGTCTTTTTCAGCGCTGTATCCCTACTGCCTAGGACAGTGCCTGACACAGCGAGACACTTCCACAGGATACATGTGCTGAGACGCTGCTGCTCAAAAGAGAACAAAGCAAGCATCTACAGGCTGACATACGAGCACCTACAAGATGTGTTAAGAAAAACAGCAAGGCTCACACTCCTCACACACATGTGCACACACATCTTCATGCCACACCTCTTTTTTCCAGAATACATGTGAGATTGTTGATAGTCACTGAGTGGTGACCTCTGGGACAGAATCTGTTTTCCCTACTATCTTTTTGTGCTATTTGAGTTTCCTTTTGAATCTCATGTACATAAAGCCTATTTTTTTTTTTTAAAACAAGGTAGATGCATCTATCCTTCCTGGTGCAAAAGCCATTAAGATATTCTCTGTAAGGATGTTACCCATAGAAACCTCCTGGGAAGAAATAAGAGCGTGTGGACAGTGGCTTGTCTTTGATCAGGAAGCAAGGGTCTGGTACAGGAGACGTGATGGCTCTGCCATGCATTTATCGCTTCCCAGTGACTGAACAGATAAATGGCAGTGAGTCCTCCTCACTGAGGGCCCCCGCTGCAGTGAGGACAGGGGCATGGGTGGGGAGGGCCCCTCAGGGAACAAGGTGTTCAAGGACGGCAGGGGACAAGGCAGGGACACAGGGCCCCTCCCACGTCAAAAGCCCAGAAAGGAGGGCCGAGGAGGGGAAGAGAGGCCACCACCCAGCTCTAGACAGGGTGAGCACTGAGGGGGCCCACAGGGCTGCAACATGTCTGTATAGCAGTGCCACCCAAAAGCAGCAGCATGGAAACCATGTGTGTGATCTAAAAGCCTGCGCTACAAATGGAAAAAGCAAAGTTTAATTTAACCCAATACATCCAAAACATTAAGATTTCAACACATATAGATGAGGGAGCCATTCCAGGCTGCCACATTGCACGTTTCACATTCACACAGGCTCCCACTCAGAGTGTGATGGTGTTAGCCACGCTGTGACAGAGGCTGCGACAGTTGACATGGGGACAGGCAGGCCTAGCGAGCATCAGGCTGACACCCTGTAGCTGTGGGGGGAAGCTGGGGATGGCCTCTGAGCTGGGCAGGGATCACCTGAAGCTCATGCAACCCTCTGTGCTCCCTAAACTCCTTTACAGCTGGTAATCATGAAATGGAAATGGGGGTGAGTGAGGCAGAGGGTGGACCAAGGGGCAGCTCTGGGCTGCTCTTACCTCTATAAAAGGTCTTGCAATTTTGGGTGCAATGGTTTCTGTGACAGAAGGTTCCTGAGAAAGGACAACAAACTCCTCCGCTTTCACTGGGAAGCCAGCATCGTCCATGGGAGAGTACACCTCAAACAGCTCCTGGATGGTCCGCTGAACACAGAAACACCCTCACTCTACTGAAATGAAGCCCAGTTTCGTGCCCGGCTTGAGCCTGAGCCCTCAGGACCAGGGAACTCAACATACCTGTGTCAGAAATGCCATGGAGTAGTCATTTCCCTGAGCGGCCACCTCTCGGATCAAGTCTTTGGTCCCATTTTTCAACAGTTTCTCTTCAATGGAGTTGCCACTCACAAGCCTACAAACAACACACGACATAAGTGGAGTCCTGGGAACACAGCCACCCGAGCAGGCCAGCACCTCACTGCTCACGGTGCATTCGAGGCTCTGTCCCTGGCACTGCCCACTGCAGTGCATGATCCTTCTGCAGTGCATGATGGTCCCAGGCTCCTCAGGGGCCTCAGGCAAGCACACCTGCCCCCTTTTCCTTATCACTTACCTTCTACTCCAAATGCACTTTAACACCCATCTATCCAACTGTGTGTACGTGCATGAGACACATACACTCTCACACCCATGATAAATTTTAATATCACTTGGGGACACATCCTATCTTTAAGACTGAGGTTTTCCTATCTAAGGACAGCACAACTTCTGTGGTGGTGGCCCATCTCCCAGCCTGTCACCAGCTCATAGTGATTTTTATGCATCCTGCACCTTTACTGCTAGGACCACTCGGGAGTGTTTACAGACGGTGGCTACTGAGAATTAAATACTCTTCCTAGTTCTAGTTAGTAATCACTAAAGGGTCAACAATAAGGAAGGGACTCCATGGGGAAACACTGTTCATTCAATATGAATTACATGCCAAGCTTATATTTAGTAGTACAGAAATACACTAAGACACTGTTAAATACCCTCCTAAGACACTGTCAAAAGAAAATGGGATCACAGGTAGGACCAGCCACGAGCCCTGGTGAACTAGAGAAGCATCTGGAAGGACACGGGGTCTCTAGCGGCCACCTCTGCAGGATGCTTTTCTCCATGAGCTTCTCTCCTTTTATTTCAATGAAAAAGTAATGTATTTATAATAAAAAAAATAGTAATAAAGCTTCTGGACTGCTGTCTTGATGAAAACAGGGTGGTCACGTGCACTGGCTGGGTCCTAGTCCCAGGTGGCAGGCCACACGAGGAGGGCAAGGGTCGTGCTAGTAGATGAACACCCCTCTGTGCCCTCGGTGACATGTGCCTGGCCAGTTACAATTTTTGTGCTTGAAGATAATGAACACAGGTTTGAATTCTCCATAGCCATTTCACTAACAGGCAGCTTTATCTTTGATAATAGTTGAAACCTAAAATATGGGTCACCCTCCAAGCTTCAGGAGTTCCAGAAGGTAAATGTTTGTAGGACAGCAAGTATGTCTAGGTAACCCAACTCTATCATGACATCCACCAAACCAAGTTATGTCCCCAGCAGAGGTTAAGAGTAAGGAAAGGGCAGATAAGTCAGCAGGAACGTAAGTCCACCTTAAGGAAAAATGCAGAAAACATGCAGAAACATTCACGTGGAGCAGCAGCCATCATTGCCCTCCATGCAGCATGCTGTGCCTGCACCCTGGTGCTCCTCACCTATATATGTGGACGTCCTGGCGCCTCCCAATCCTGTCACACCACTCCTGTGCCTTGGCGTCCATCACGGGGTTCAGGTCGTTGTCATAGAACACCACTGCGTCTGCCTCTACCAGGCTCACGCCTGTAGCACGGCTGTGAGTCGAGAGAATGGCACAGAAAATCCGCCTGTCTCTGTTGAAACTCCTCATCAGTTCCTAAGGCAAAATTAAGCCCTTGAGTTGGTACTCCTAATACATGCTGGGAAACCTCTGACTGTTCTGAAGCTTATTGGTTGGAAACCGAACTGCAATGTGTTTCCTTAGATGAGGCTGCATCCCCATGGCCTGCGATAGCATTTCACCTGGCTCTTCAGCACACTGCACCCTTTCACTTACTCACCTGAAACTATTTAAACAGCACAAGGGCATCAAGGTCGGGTCCCACCTTAGTCTGAAGGCCCCTCAAGGACAGTCTCACTGTCGGGGGAATGTGTTTCCACATGTACCCCCAGGCAAGGCAGGGCCCTCCTCATCAGAAGCCCCTGAAATAGGCTGAGGGGGCAGGAAAACAAACCAGGCTCAGGCCCTCCCACAGCACAAGCACGTGCAGGATAGCCTCATCTGAACACCCTCTTGGGCGACTGTCAGCACCAGTACAGACCATTACAGGCAACCGACGCTCTTCTTTCAAGAAGTTCTATATGTATAATTTGTTACATGACCACCAGGAAAAGTTAGAAAAGACAGAGTATCTCGTTCCAGCCCTTCTCTGTATGTGTACACAAGTGTGAGAAGTCCCGTATGTGCTGCATAATGTGAAGTAGGGAACAGCACCTACAGCTTGCTGTTGCCCTTTGGGACATGCTGCCATGCAAGTTCCGCTCTGAGATGCTGCTGCTGACTGGTTATCCCACCCGTGGAATGCTGGGATGATGTGTGCTAACCACATGGCCACACCCATGGCACACAGACAGCTCATTTACCCACTCTTGTCCTGGACATCCACTCCATTTCTGACTGGGGATTATGATAACATTTGTACAAAGAATCACCATGTATGTAGGTCTCAGGAGTGGTGCTATTCAAGGTCAGTACAAGGTGAGCTGCTAATTCATAAGTGCACCAGCTGCAAGCTCATGACCGTACTGCCAGCTGCCTCCTAGAAAGCTGTCCCAACTCATGAAACGGCACACGGTTTGAACAGCACATCAGCCTGGACCATCATGCCACATGGCACCTCCTGCAGTGCAACAACCCTGCCCGTGATGGCTTTGGGTCATCAAATCTGATCCTGAAATTTCCAACTAGCCTCACATTTCCCGAATAACAAGACTTATGACAAAATACCGGAGACGGAGCTCAGCCTTGCTGAAGCCCAAGAACTCTCCCTTCATCTGTAAGGGTCATGGCGGCTCTGGGCTGACACCACACTGAGAAACCCAGGCAGACGCTGGCAGCGGGGCTCGCACACCAGGTCACAGGGGACAACACAGGTGATGCTGTCCTTACCTGTCGCTGTTCACGGTTGGCGTTCTCATCAATTCTCACATAGGTGAGATGGTGGAAGTCCAAGAACATCTCTAAAATGTCCAACATGAGCACCATCTGGGACAGAATCAGCACGCGGCGCCCTTCAGACCTCAGCTTCTGAAGTAAGATTGCCAAAGCTTCTAGCTTTCCTATGAAAGGAACATCAAAGAGCCCCTTGTAGCCCACAGTGCACGGGTCTGACCCCAAACTGTGCCAACGGGCCCCTCAGTACCTGAGTCAAACTGGACCAGCCGGGGCTCAGGGAACTGCAGAGAGCGTGGGGCGGCTGCCCGCTGAAGCTGATGTGCATAAGGTGCCATGTAGTCCTCCAGGCGATGCCTAAAGGCCCTCATCCTGTGGCTGTAGAGGGATGGTGGCCTTGCCACCCACAAGCATGGGGGTGCAGCCACCACCGGAGGGATCACACACAGCACCCTGAGAAGCAGAAAGATACCCATCACATGGCACCCATGGTGTCCTCACCAGGCAGCCCTCGGCTGCTGGTGCCAAGGCTTGAGGGGTGTGGCAGAGGCCTCTGACAGCGACTCTCCAGAATGAATTCCAGTTACCACGGGGTGATGTGGTGGCTGGCCCACACTGTCTGTCCCAGCAATCACTAGAGCAGGTGCCACCAGTCCTGGCCATCGAGGGCCACCCCAATGGAAAAGGGCAGCAAGGTCCACCAGGCCACAGGACAGGGTGGAGGTGGCCTGTTCCATATGAAACGTGTCGTCAGATGGGAATTTTGGGACCTGGGCGCTGTGTCTCCTGGATGGTTGGTGGGGAGACTGTGAACCCTGGAGCAGCTACAACCACTGTACTGCCAGGAGGGGAGAAGGCCTGGGAGGAGGGGCCCATGGAACGGCATGATGGTGGCTCAGGTGAGCCTCACCGCCAACCCAATGCCCACTCCAGGCCTCCAGACAGAGCCTGCACCAGAAAAGCCCTCACTCTGGACTTCAGCTCATGCTGAGTTTACACAATGGGCTACCAACTGCACGTAAACTGAAAAGCCATCTATCACTAGATGGCTGATGAATGAAACCTCAGAGAACCAGATAAGTGGAGAGACTCCAAGTTCACAGAAAGGAAGACTAGACACTGTCAAGACATCAGTTCTTGCAAACTTCATCTAGAAATTCAACATAATCATAGCCAAACCCCAGCTGGTTATTCTGAGATATCAACAATCTGACTCTAAAGTTTATTTGAAGAGGCAACAGACCAGAAGAATGAACATAATACTGAACAAGAACAAAGGAGGAGGCCTCACCTCTGAGCACAACTCACTGTAAAGCTAGTGATCAGGGCAGCAGCAGGCTTGAGGACAGACAGAGCAGGGACCCCAGAGAGAGACCCCCACAAATGCAGTCTCCAGTGTCTGACAGGAGTCCAGGAAGCACAGCCTCTTAACAAATGGGGCTAGAACAACTGGACGTTCACATGCAGAACAAGAACCTGAGAGACAGCCAGGCATCATGCTTCCCAACACAGAACACGCTACCACCTATTCTTGCAAACAGCCAAATAGCAAGCCTGGGCTCAACCAAGTGTCTAGATCTAATGATTTACAGACAATACAGGGAACAATGTGTTTAAAGCCACAAGTCAAATGACACCTTATGTGGGGATTCTGCAGGACAACCATGAGACTTCAACAAATAAGCTGCAAGGGAAAAAAAAGGGAGAAACAGAAGCAGAACCCACAGATTGGAAGACAAGTAACTCCATCAACTGCTAGGTGTCTACTTCACTGCGATCTGATCTGAACAGTAAAAAATTGGAGACTGTCAAAAACTGGACAGCACTTGATGCCACCAAAGCACTGCTCATCTGCAGGTGTGACAATGCATCCTGACTACTTCAAGTCCGTATTTTTCAGAGCACAGTGAACTGTTAAAGGAAGCCATGTCAGTCCAAAATCTGTTCCCAAAGTGTTCTGTGCTCAAGGGAGTAATGGGGCCCAGAGGCAACAAGCAGCTGTCAGCCAGCAGCTGCAGGGAGTAGGCAACAGACATCCAAGGCCACTGTGTGGGTCTACCTGGATCTAAGGCATGTACTTGAAAACCATCCATAATACAGGATTTTAAAAATGGAGGGGAATAAAAGGATCCAGTCACAGACCTATTCCTTCCACAAAAATTAACTCAAAACTGATCAGAGATCTCAATATAAAATGCAAAATGATAAAACTCCTAGAATGTTAACAGGAGAAAACCTAAGTGGCCTTGGGTGTGGTGGTGGCTTTTCAGATACACCTACAAAAGCATGATCCATGAAAGAATTAGATAAAATCGCTATGGAAGACAGTGTCAAGAGAATGAGAAGACAAGCTACAAATTGGGAGAGATATCTACAGAAGACATCTGATACAGTACTCTTACTCAAAATATACAAAATGCCCTTAAAACTTGACAGTAGGAAACAAAAACATGATTGAAATAATGGCCCAAGACCTGAACACCTCACAAAGATACAAAGCTGGCAAACAGACATTTGAAAAGGCACTCAGCATCCTGTGCCACCAGGGAAATGCAGATTAAGTCAGCAAGGAGCCACTTCATGGGGTGGGACCAGCCAACTTCAGCCCTGCCCACACTGCACTGGTGAGGAGGCAGGCCCTGGTAGGGGCATTTCACTGCAGTGGGGATGCAAAACAGAGCAGCCAACCTGGTGATTTACTACAAAAGTAAATATACTCCTACCATCCAGTCCAGTAATGGTACCCCTCGGTATTTATCCCAAGAAGATGAAAATTATATCCACACAAAACCTGCACACAGACGTTTACAGCAGCTTCGTGCATCGTTGTTAAAACTCAAAAGCAACCAGAAAGTCCTTCAGTAAGTGGATGGGTAAACTGTGGTCTATCCAGACAATGGAATATTATTCAGCATTAAAAACAAATAGGCTACAAGCCTGAAGAGACATGGAGGAGCCTTAAATGAGTATTACAAAGTAAAAGAAGCCATCTGAAAAGGCTTCATCCTGCCTTTTAGGGTTCCAACTCTATGACAGGTTGGAAAAGGCACAACGGTAGAGACAGTAAGCCAACCAGGGGCCACCAGGAGACCGTGGGGAGGGATGAGCTGGCAGAGCACAGGGGGTTTGAGGGCAGTGACCTACACTGTTTGATACGGTGGTGGCAGACAGGTATCATTACATGTTTGTCCAAACCCACAGAATGCTCAACACCAAGAGGGAACCCTAACACAAACCATGACTCTGGGTGATGACGACATGTCAATACTGGTTCATCAATTTTAACAGATGTGTCCTCTGGTGGGGCCTGCTGATGGTGGGGGAGGGTGTGTGGAGGTGATGAGGAGGTACATGGGAAGTCTCTGTACCTTCCCCTCAATTTTGCTGTGTATTAAAACTGCTGTAAAAATAGAGTCTACTTTTTAAAACAGAGGAAGAGAAGAAGGAAAGAGATCAGCATCTAAAGAGAGAACATAGTACCTAAGGCTGATGCCCTAACTACACCGCCTGGAGGGAAGAGGCCACATGCTCCCATGTGGGAACCATGCCTCATTTCCCTTTCCTCCCTTACTCCTTTCTCTGATCTGAGACCTAGAGTAGGTACATCCTGACAGTTGAGCCAGGCAGGCCACAGGAGCATGGCTGGGTTTCCTACTGTAAAGCTGGAGGAACTAGAAACAGCCACCTGGCAACACCAAGAGAACAGAGATGGGACGAAAAACATGTGGTCAGGGGAACCTAGAGGAAGGTCACAGCAGTGAATGAGCCACAGACAGGCGGAGGGTAAGCCAAGATCTGTGCCCACAGCACATGAGCTTCTGTCCCTTCTTGAAACTTATCTGAGGCCAACTCTGAAATACACACTTCTCATGGTGCAACGTTAAGTCATTCACATGATTTTTAGTAAAATATTATTTTAAAAGAGCAGAATGGAGAAAGCCATCCACAACTCAGTGGCCTGTCCCCATGCCCAAATGAGCAAGGCGCCAGCTAAGCATGCAGGCCTGCTGCACTCATCCAGAACTGTCCTGGGACAGGCAGCATCCAGGACAGCACAGGGAAGAACTACGCCCATAGGGTAAATGTCCTCCCAACTCCCTGAAAGCTGTGGGTGCAGCTCAGCAGGGAAGTGAAGCACTGAAAGGGCACCAGTGCCCGCCAGCTGCCTCACCTGTCAATGACATCCTGGAGGGATTCCTGGCGTTGAGTCAGTGTCAAAACCAGGTCCCTTGGAGTCTCTGAGAGTGATGTGCAACAGCTCGCTGGCCCGGCCTCTGGCCCAGGACTGCCATCCAAAGCTCCAAGCCTAGGGAGCCATCCCCTGATGGCCATGGAGCACGCACCCAGCAGGTCTCTACCATAGACTGGAGCACGGGCACAGCGCCGCTCGTTAATGAAGTAAATCTGGTCCAGCCGCTCCTTCCAAAGTCTGGTCTTTTCCTCCTTTATCAAAAACGGTGATGAAAAAGGTTACTGAGAGCCACTGACCTGACACACACACCCAGCCATGGAGGTCTGGCTCTATGCAGGGAAAACAGACACACCTCCTTGCTCATGGGAAGCGTTTCTCAAGACCCAGCAAGAAGGTCTGAAGCCTGACAAGGGTGGGAAAATAGTACAAATGGGAGAGGGGACTTTGCCATCACATAGCCCCATCTCATCTTTTTGGGAAATCTGTTTTTAAAATCAAGGTTTTGAAAGTCAAAGAAACCATGTGTTTCTGGAGACATGAGTTGATGGTACCTCACAGAAGCCATAAGATGCCACAAGCAGCCCCTATAACAAGCAGCTTCTGAAAAGCAGCATCTGAGCATGGGGGTACAGCCCGCTGGCACCCCAAGCCATTCAGGGATAGCCCACAGTGTACCTGGGTTGGTCCGCCAACAGGAGAGGCTGGTTTAGAGGCCATTCCCAGTTCTCCTACAGCCAGAGGATTGACTGCCACTCGACCAGGTGCCCCAACTACAAATGCAAAGTGAAGAGTTAGAAAATAAAGCTCCAGCATGGTCCCTGGACACCACCCTCTTTAATCAACACGCTTCTGGAACATGTAAACCCTAATCTAAATGATTTACAACTCCAGCAAAGCATCCTGCTCTCTGGCCACTAGGAGCCAAGCCTTTTCCTTGGCTGAGGGCCCAGTGGGCTCAAAGGAAGGTGACTTGTGCTCATACCATGGTCACCCCCTGCCCCCATGGCAGGGCAGCAGCCACATGGGCCCTGGGACAGCACTCACCTCAGAGCTTCCCCTGTGGGCAAGGAGTCAGCTTTACACCAGCCAGGCTAACATGACCCAGCATCCCAAGTAGGCTGCTGCCCCTGACAGAGACCTGTACACAAGCATGCTCAAAAAGGCATCTGAGGACGGAGTGGGGCCACTTCAGGGGGCAAAGTGACCAGAACCTAGTGGCTGGCGCTGGTGCCAGCCATGGCAACCAGGGGCCCTGCAGGAAGGGGTGCTGGCATTGGTGCTAGGATGGGAGAAATCTCAGCCAACAGGAGCACTACAGGTGCAGCCATGTGCCCCAGCTGGGGTGCAGAGCGCCCCCACCTCTCCACTGCCGGCAGCCTGCTGGCGGTGTCTGATAGGAGTGTGTGCAGAGGCCTGCCCCCTCAGCACAACAGAGCAGGCCAGGGGCTGAGTGCATCAGGAGGAGCCCTGCTGCTTCCACACGCTAACCCGCTGGCCTGCCATGTCCTTGGCAGGTGCCACCCAAGACAAGACATGTCCAGGTTGAGCAGGAGGCTGGCTAGAAGCAGGTCGGATGAAAAAGCACCCAAGCCTGCCCTGGCACCTGCCTGGGGAGACTCCCACACCTTCTAAGCTATGATGCTAAGGAGCAAAATTTCTGGTGACTCTTAAGTCTCATTAGAACAGAAACAGAACAAAAACCTAAAGTAAGTGGAGGCTGGTTAGATCCAACCAATATATTGAGAGCAGAAAAGAAAATAAAGCTAGTACCGGCCCATCTTTGGGAACCAGACACACCCGCAGTACACTCAAGGTTGGAGGCACTATGATCAGAAAGCAGAAATGCCTCTCACGTAACATGGGACACAGGGGTCAGGAGGAAGCTTCCATCCAAGTCCTGCTCAGGGCAGTCTACCTGGTGGGGTCACGGGAGCAGGGCTGCCTGCCAGGGGCTTGCTTCCCAGCGCATTCAGGGCACCAGCTGGAGACATGGTCTGCATCACAACAGGGCCAGGGGGCCGCAGGTAGGACTGGCCCGGGGCAGAGACGATCTGCAGAACGCTGCCTGCAATCACATAAGGTTTTTGCAGTGGGGGCGTAAGTCACAGCCACACTCGCTTCCAAATGCACAAAAATTAGGCAATAAACTGAAAACCCAAAATCAAATTTCCTGCTACAAAGCAACAGAGTTCAGTTACCTAGAGAAAAATGGAAATAGTTCATCTACAATGAATGGAAACTCTAAGGAACAAAGTCATTTAGCTTAATGTCAAAAAAAAAAGGTTGTCTATTCCCTGCAACTCCTGATTTCAGGCAACATAGGCACCCACTTGGCGTCTGTCCCGTGGATGCTCAAAGTCTGGGGCAACCAGCCCCAAGACCACATGTCAGTGCTTGCCGACTGGATGAAGAAATACCTAAAAACCCAAATGCTGCTCTACTGCTGCCATTTAAGGACCTTGCCATTTTCAACTTTCTGTGTGGTTAAGTCTTTCCAATGTCATGCACTCTGGAGGAATCTCCCCATCATGCTCCACAAAAACTAGAGCCCACCAGAGACGTGAATGGGTGGCCTTGCCTCTTGGTCAAAAAAACAGAGAAATAAGCAAATAGATTGAATTAAATGGAGTCTCTGCTACAGGCCTTGGAGGCCTTCACTCTGCCACCCTGTGGGACCCTCCAGCGTCCTCAGAGCTTCCCAGACTGGCTGCCAAGAGCCAAGAACAACAGGTGCCGGGAGATGGTCAGCCAGGGCTGCTACAGACCCCACCTCTGACCCCTAACCTACACTGAGAGGAGCTGAAAGGTTCACCTGCTACCACATCATCACCTAGGATCAGTTAACTGGCACTCAGATCACATCCCTCATCTTCCTCACCAAGAGTTACTGCATGGACAACTGAAGGCCTGGAAGTAAAAATGTAGAATTTGTATTTAGAAAAAGCATTAACTTCTACATAAATTGCTTTGGTATTTTCAGGACAATGTACCTCATACTAAAACCTGAAAGCAGCAAATATTTCTATTTTGATTTTAAAAATAGGGAGCTTTTCCCAAAAGGCAGATTTTATTTTAAAAATGACTATAATCTATTTAATATGTACCAAGGACCAATCAACTAGGTGGCTTAAGTGTCACCTCCTCTCAATGCCTACAGGCCAGACTCACACAGAGGGTTGACAACGTGCCAGCCCCAGCTGCAGGGGAGAGGGTACCTGGGTGGCTCCAGGCTGTGGGCTCCACCACCCAGGGCCATGGATAAGCTCTGCATGGTCACCCAAGTTAGCGACCTGTTACCTTGGAGTTGCAGGGGCTGGCCAGCCGTGAGCTGCCGGAGCTGGCTGTGGGACAAGGTGAACTTGTTCCCCTGGAACTGCAGTGTCACTGGGGTCTCTGGCTGGGCCACTCGACTTGGTGGTCCTGCTAGGGAAGCCAGCTGGGCTATTTTGACCACCTCTCCACCTGCGAAAATGTGGGGGAAAGGGAATGAAAACTGGGGAAGTTTGCAATTGTTACACTGTGATTATCTGTTGTACAGAATGACATCTGTAACAGAGCACAGTGTCATACAGACACTTAGTAGGTAGGGTTTTCTAACGTTTTCAGAGAACAGTCATTTTAACAGAAAAAGAGAAAATAAAAATTAACAATGGACTTTCATGGTTAATGTATTAAGTCATAACTAGCAAAGACTTTAGGTATCAGATATTAATATAACTAACCAAACCATTAAACATTTTACTTTCTCCAACCAAAGGTAGCCAACTTTGAAAATGGCAGAGATCTACTTGTAATACACTTTGAAACTCTCATATCAACCTGGAGAACTTTCAAAATGTGAAAAAGTCCGTGCCAAATTTAGTTCACAAAGGTAAACAATATCAATACAGATACAAGAGTAGATAACCAGCTTCAATTATATCCATAACCTCTTCAAAATCTAAGAATGTATTTAAGTACATAAATATATCACCTGAGACAAAGTTCTACATTAACTGGGACTAGGTCATATGATCCAATCTGTGATATTCACTGTGATTAATACTGCTTACAACAGTTTTTTGAAAACATATAACTCAAATGACATCATATGCACCTGACTCAAAAAGGTACTACTGCCTTCAGGTTGTAACTGACCAACAGGCTGAAAGCTTTCTATCCAATGGTTGATATTCAAGTCTAAATGCTCCTCCCAAGAAAATCCATGCCAGAATTAGTAATGATGCTATAAAGAGAATGGTTAGCCGAAGAGTAAGAAAATATCCCAGGATATCTTTTCCCCAGAAACTGTGTGGAGGAAGGGAACCTGAGAGGAGGAGACACAGAGGACTGAGTACAGTGGTCCAGCTCTCCTGCCAGTCTCCTCAGTCCCGCCAGGCACACCCGCACTGCCTGCCCAGGTAATGAAAACATCATGGTGCAGGTGCTTTACTCCCCGGGCCATGAATGAGCACAGATGCATTATTTGCTGGGAGTGGAGCAGCCTGTATGAGCACCAGCCTGCACTCAGCCTGCTGAGATCAATTTCTCTCTCAGCATTGCAGGATGGCTTCAATGTACCTATTACCCAGCAAATAACATGCCTGAAGTGGCATCTGAGAAATGAGGGGCTCTTAATGGCTTCAGTGAGGGTACTTTATGGCAGAATGTACAGGGGTATGTGTAGGGTTTGGAAATATGATAATCACTCTGGTCACAAATGTTCTAGGAAAACTTAGTAAGATTGTGATGTTCTAGGCATTGAATTTTTATAAAATGGCTCTGCTGAGCAATAATTCATTCCAGCTTCAGATCTGGTTAATAAGGGAGAGACTAAAAACAAGTCACGGTTTTTAGAAACCAAACACTAGTTCACATCACTGGTGGGGAGGTCATGTGCTTCCAGGTCACTAGCACTTGCTCCCTCAGCAGACTGTGTGGCAGATGGAAGGACCCCTGGCTAAGGCTAAGGACAAGGGGGCAGCCAGCACACCAAGGCAGAGCATGAGCAAGGAAGCAGAGCTGGTGTAGGGACCAGGAGAAAGGACAGAGAAAGACAAGGCCCCACACATTGGCCCTGAACAGGAATCTTCCCCTTCAGAGTCAGGGCAGAAATGACAGCATGGCAGAAGGCAGCACCAGGCGTGGGGCCAGGGGAGGCAAAAGGAGTGGACAGCGGGCTCCTCCCACAGGCTGATCTGAACACAACCTCGTCGCAGTGACGACGTGGCAGACCCGAGCGGTGAGGCCACTTACTCGGCAGGCGCGCGTGGGCCTGCGAGGTGAGCACCAGCCCCTGAGGCAGCGTGCTCTGCCCAGCTGGGTGCGAGGCCTGGGGCGGGGGCTGGGGTGGGCCCGGGGTGGAGGCCGGGACAGTGGTCTGAGCCCGCAGTTTCACAGGATGGGCTGGGCTAGGTGCCGTGCTGCAGGTCGAGGCAGGCTGGTGTCTTGGAGCACCGGCGGGAGCCTGAGAGGTCTGAAACGGGGCGGCTGCTGCTGCAATCAATAAGGTTCGTTTGTGCAAAGCTGTTAGAGGTTCTAACAAAACGCAGTGCCTGAACCCAACTTCAAAGAAACAAGACAAATGTTACCGCACGCTGCCCCTCAAATGAGAGCCCTCTGGGGGGCGTGCCGGCCAATGAAGTCCACCGTGTGGGAAATACCATCCTCAACTCAGGGTTCACTTTGCCCTGAGATCTGTTTCTGGAGCCAAAGGGGCTGGAAGCCTGCCCACTCAGGGCCTGTGCCCACAGCTCGGGAGCACGGGCAGCCTGCACCCAGCTGCAGTGCATTGTCGAGACTTCAGAGCACAGCAGACAAGGCTGTGCCCTGGGTCAGGGCCGGTTCTATCACCTTTCTGCCATTTAACTCCCCCTCCTCACAAAATCACTAGGTCACACTGAAGTGAGCACAAAACACAAGAGCCAGCCCCCAGAGTGTCCACAAACATCTCCATGCACTTGAAGGCTCTCCTAGGCCCACCGCTACCATCCCATCAATAGTGGTATCTCACACAGGGACAGATCCTCTCGAGAATTGCACACAGTCTCTTTGGCAGAGCCAGAGCTGACATGCTGCCCCTGCTTGGAAGGGCCTGGGCAGCATGAGGGCCAGCCTCCACAAACCCCTACAGCACCCGAGCCCCAGCACCCACCACCACGCACCATACCTTTTGCATCTGGATTTGCAGAGAATGTGGCAATTGGCGGCCGTCCCCGAACGTGGCCCTGAGGTGTGGCAGTGGCTGGAGCAGAGGTCACAGTACGGGGTGGGTGTGTGCTGGGGAAAGCCATAGTGCGACCCTCGGGCTTCTGGCCATACTGCACAGGCTGAAACAACCTAGGCACCCATCATGCAGGAAGGAAGACACAATATTGCTAAGCAGACCAGGACACAGGACCACCCAAGTGCAGCACAGCCCTGCACACAGGTGCAGCTTAAAGATAGGTGGCACAGGCTCCCACACAGGGCACTTAGCAGCTTATCAAAGGCCCTAGGGATGTGCTGACAACACAGTACGTAGAAGTGACCCTCACCATGCTGGTGACACTGGCTGAATGTGATTTTAATTTATAAGATAAGGTGGGGCAGAAAACCACCACACACCACTGGGTAACAGGGTGGAAATGGGCAAGGCACTGGCAGACTCAGAGGGGAGCCTGCAAAGGGCACTCCCATCCCCACCCCCAACCACTGCCCTCAGCCGCATCACACAATGGGCTCTTCCTGTTCCTTTTATTCAGAAACTAAAATGGCAGGAATTGTTTACTTTCAAAGCCCCCAGGGAATAAGGCAGGTAGAGGCAGGCAAGACAGTGCAGCCTGCTGCCCATGTGCACTGGGCAGGGACCAGGGGATCAGGCAGGATGGGGAGGGGCTCCGAGTCCCCAGGGAAGTCACTCCAGAATGAGGCAGCCAGAGTGGGGGGCCAGTCTGCTGAACTCTCTCTCTAAAACATGTTTTTCTAAAATACCTGTTTTTCTTTTTCTTTCCTGATTTTAACCTGAGCATAGGATTTTGCATTTTTCTACCTCGCTGGATCCAATCTACCGTGAACCATTTGTTTGGATTTCATCATCTAGCACATTCTGCCCCTTCCAGCCTCAAGGCACCTTACAGTGGCAGCTTCAAATGCCCTCTGGATGTCCCTTATGCTGTAGCCAGGGGTAGAGCCCTCTGCCTGCCCGTAGGGCCAACATGGCCCACCACAGCCCCTCTGCCCCTGCTGTGTGGACACCTGGTCACGACAGCTGCCACCACATCACACACCTGACCTCCAACCCTGACCCCCTCCCCACTCAGATCCCTCCCAAAGCAAAATGCTTATGCAAAGAGCCATTCGGCCACTGAATGGCCACAGAGCCTTGCCAGAGGTGCAGGGCCCGCACCTGCTATTCATCATTAGCCACTAGAGGGTGTGTGAGCAATTTTCTTCCGCAAGCTGCAGCCTGGGCTCTTATTGCCCAAACCATGTCCTCCCTGGTCTCCCTGAGGGGCGGTGGGGCCAGGGGCAAGGGAGACATCAACCAGACCCCATGGCAAGTCACAACCAGCCAAGACCCACCAGAGATGGGCGGGAGCAGTAAGCCCCACAGCACACACCTGCTGGGCTTCAGCCTGATGGCCACTGGCCTGCTCACCGGCGGCACCGCACACAGCTCCTCCATGAGCTTCCGGGACACCTTCCTCCTGCTCAGCACATCTGCCTCGTGGTGAGCCATTTTACTTTCTAAGCCAATAAGGTCAAATATGGAAAGATCGGTGTCCTGCAGGAAGAGAACACAGCTTTGCTGTGCGAGGCAGCAGGAAAAGCACCAGGGAGTCAGAGTAAGACAGTCCCAAGCTGGGCAGACTGGGCCCAGGAGGCAGCCATCTCCCAGAGGCACTCCTGCAGACCATCCCTCCACACCCAGTTGGGGTCTGTGCCCACTTGGGCTTGGCCAGGCCACTAGGCCTTGGTTTCACCATCTTTAAGATGGGGGTGATGGCAGTGGGGATGGGGAAGGCAGAGGGGAGAGGCAGACTAGACTCAGCCAAGGAGACAGCAGGGAGTTGCAGGTCTGCCAAGCAAGGTCAACCCAAGTGCTGGCTGGGCCTAGGGGTATATTCCTCAGGCAGATGATTGAGCCCCTGGCTGGGGCAAACCTCGCATGCCTGGCCCACCCTGTGCTTCTTGAGGATTAGGATGGACACACAGCCCAACTCTATCAGGACATGCAGCAAGGGACAACCCCCACCCCTCTACACCCAGGTAGGGACACAGAGGGGGCAGCCACCACTGTTCAAGTCTGGTGGGCCTCAGGCTGAATGTGGAGTCAACATCTGACCCCACAACTCCACATCCCAACCTGTGCCCAAGTGAAATGAAGCACATGCACACCAAACTAGTCCACAGCAGCAATGCTCCTAACAGCCAAGGGGTGGAAATTACCCCCATGTGGGTCGATGAGCAAATGAAGAGTAGACGTAATGTCCATCCACACACGGAATTTGATTCAGCCTCAAAACAGAAGGAAATGCTGATGCCAGCCACCAGGTGGATGGCTCTGAAATACTATGCCAGTGAAGTAAGCCAGACACCCAGACCATGTCATATGATTCCATTTACATGAAACGTTCAGATCCACAGATGACAGAGTGGGGCTGCCCGGGGTAGGGAGCAGGCAGGGATGGGAAGTCGCTAATGTGTGACTTTTCTCTCCAGAGCTGAGGTATTCCAGTATTAGTGCAGAAGGCGGCACAACTCTGTAAACAACCTAAAACCAACCCACTGTATGCTTGAGAGTGGTCAGTTTTATGGTAATGAATGGTCTCAACATAGCTGTTTTCAAAATGGAAGCACCACATAAAAAGTACCCCCTGTGAGATGCCCCTGACACCTTGAAGCAATCTGTCAGACTCTCCTATATCTCCCAGAGCTCCATTTTCTCAACTCAACAACAGGTGGGTGGTGGGTGATGTGGCGCCCCACCCCAAGCTGACTCACTGCCCTGCTCGCCACCTGCCATCCCTCAGAACATCACATCCAACTGGTTCCCTCCTCCCAGCCTCCCTCTGCACTGCACAGCCTACCCAAGACACAGAGAGGCTCCCAGTTCTTCACATTTGCGAGGCCCCAGGCCCTAGGAGCCAGCAGCTACCCAGGAAGAGAGCAGGGATGAACGCCACCTGCCCGCTGCCCAGTGGGCCTAGGCAAGCTCTGTGGCCTCCTGAGTACAAACCAAAGTTGGTGGGTCTTCCTCACAGAAGGGGAAAGAGGGCCCAAGAGAGCACAGCCCTAGTCCCACTGAGACCCAGTGAGCTTGGCATATGCCTGTTCAGTATCACTCAACCTAACCCAATTTCTTTTAAAAATGCTGATTTTGTAAAAAATAACTCTCTTTACCAAAACATGCAAACAGAAATGTAAGTATTTTTTTTGTTAAAAAATAACCAAATTTCCATATAGACAGATATTCTACGAATGGATTACTAACATTTTAATAATCTTTCCACACACGTGAAAATGATGAGAATGGAGGGGGGGGGGCAGAGAAACTGAGATTTGGCTGTCCTGTTCACTGCTAGACTAGAAAAATGCCAGACACCTGGTGGCACACAGCACATACTCACTTTATGAGTGAAAACAACAAAAACCGAAAGTAACACATGCCAGACACCTGGGTGCTGAGTACAGCCCAACCCCCTCCCAGCAGGCCTCTGGATCACTAGATCACACGCATTGCAGGGAAGGGGGGTGGCAGGGAAGGGGTGGCCCACCCAGCGGGGACCCACCCACAGCCCCAGTGTGTGGGAGGGACGAGGTCAAGTCTGGGCCGTGGTCAGGCTGCACACAGGAACAGACCTGCCCTGGCTCACTCCACGCCCTCTCTGCCCACCCAGCACCACAGGCCAGTTCTCACGATCCAAGGGCACATGTGGCATGGTGTGAGGAAGACCTGTGCTCTTTGGCACTGTGTGCATGCTCCCGTGTGGCTCCAGAGGTGGACTGTGTCAAGTGGCAGGCAAGGCACAGAAGCCACGAGGGGAAGGCGTGCAGGTGTGGACTTCCCAGAGCCGCCTGCAATGCTGGAGCAGACCTCAGGCAGATGCCCTCCCAGACCCTCTCTCCTCACCTTCCAGGGGTCTCGATCAAGTGCCCTGAGGATAAGGGAGGCCAGGCGGTACTGCAGTGGCCCCGCTGCATAGGACGATTCTGGCAGCCGGGGCTCTACCAGACCAGGGTGGTTGCAGATGCGCTGCAGCCGCAGGAGGATGCTCAGCACATCCACGAAGTGTCCGCTCTTCAGGGCTTCTTGTGTCCTGCTCCAGGAAGACACCAGCACTGCCGTCAGTGCGTGAATGTGCCCAGGCCCCACTGAGCCCCTGCTGACTCTGCACACATGCCGCTAGCACCCCAGACTGGGTCAATAAGCCAGTTCATGGGAACACCCAAGCCCAGTTACTCTCCGCAGGGTACAGGTCTCAGACTCAGTGCCACAGTGAAGCAGGCAGGCAGCCAGAGCACCAGAGGTGAGGTCTGATAGGGTGCCACACCCATGCCCCCTCTCAGCAGGGAAGGTGACACCCAAAACAGCAGCAAGGAGGTGCTTGAGTCCAACTGACTAGGGCATCCTAACAGCTTAGGGTGAGAAAGCAGGCAGCCCGGGGCCGTGCGTACCCCGGCTGCAGAACGACGTCCTCATACAGGGCCTTCTGCCGGCTTGACAAGCGACACTTCAGCACATGCTCATACCTCCTCGCCAGCTGCTTCTCCACATCCCTCTTAGTCCTCCTCAAGATAAACGGCTGTGTCACCTGGAAAGAAGATGACCAGCCAAAGCAATGCTACCATGCCCTTGTGCCCAGACAGGCCCACTGCACAGCACGCACCCGGTGCAGGCGTATGACCACTTTGTGGTAGTAGTCCTGGCTCTCCTCGCTTGGTGCCTTCAGGGGCAGGTGCAGGTATGGTCTGGACAGGCCTGGTATTAGGAAGTGCGCCATGGTCCACAGCTCCAAGAAGGTGTTGTGCAGGGGTGCATCGATCAGGAGCAGGCGCTGCTGACTGCATAGAACCAGAGGCCACGTCTGAGATCCGAGTGCTTCGCGTCTCTGCCACCCACCGTGCTGGGAGAGGCACAGGGATGCCAGCAGAAAGGCCATCCTCTGTGTGTGCAATCCCCTAAATGCCTTCAAAAGAATGTTATGTGACAGCAGCAATACAGAACCAGGAGGGCAGGGGACCAACCTGTGCAGGGCAAACACGGCTCCCCAGTGCTTCTCTGTCATGCTCTTCACGCGCTGCATCTCGTCAATGACCAGGCACTTCCAGCGCACGCGTGTGAAGGCAGCATGGCCCCTGAAGAACTGCTTGTAGGATGTGATGCACACATGGAAGCTGTTGGGTTCCATCCACCCCTGTGGCACATGGGATGAGGCCTCACTGTCTCCCCTTGTGCTTTGGGATTAATTAAACCTGGGGACACTTCTGAGTGTACTCACCCTGAGTTAACCTGCACCCACCCATAATCACTCCACTCACTTGCTCATGATTTCATAGACAGCAGCTGAGTTTGTGGTTCTACAATTTTTCCCTCTAGGAGGAGTCTACAGTACTTGTGCAGATGAAATTAAGAAGTTGCTTTGGAGGCATTTGCACTGCTTCGGGAAGCAGGTTATCACACAGCATCCTGGAGTGGGGTTGGCACTTACAGCTCGTAAACCAAGCAAGGGAAAACATGTCCTCAAGGTGGCAGGAAATGAGGGTCTGTGTTGCAAATGACTGCACTATAAGCTTTTTAAAAACAAACTAATAACCAGAGGTAGTCAATAAAGAAGACACTACTCAACAGAGCAGAGTCTAGTGGCGAGCCAAACCTCTATGCTTAATGAGAAATTGTGACCATAATATCCTTTTACTAAGAATTGGTACTAGGAACTGTTGGGCAGGAAAAAGGAGTCCAAACCCGTTTCAGAAGCTTCCCTGTATATTAGAAACACTCCTGATACACACTACCATGGGCTTACCGTATGGGTTTATAATCAGAACTCTCAACACACTGCAACCTCCCACTGGTGCCTGTTATAACCCCTGGTCTACAACTGAAGAAGAAGGTAGCATCTCCAGGGACTTCTGCCCCTGAAGTGGAGGCCAGCCCTGCAGGACATCACTCCCTGCCCTGCTTGCAGCAGAGACCCATTTCTTGGGTGGAGTGTGTGCTTTCAGGGACTTCAAAGCCAGGAACAACTTGGAGGTCTGGTATCTCACAAATATGGGGTTTACAACAATTACACTAATAAGCACATCTTGACATTTTGAAATTCATCTTCTACAGGAATTGAGAAGTTTCCTTTTCAGTTTTATTTTGTATTTACAGTAAAATACCTGTCTCTTTGCTCTGAGCTCCCTATGGCTGCCAACATATAAGAGGGTCTTGAGCCCAGGACACCAGCGCTTTAGCTCGAGTTCCCACCTCAGAGTGCTGCAGCTCCTCACAATAACGAGATGGGGGCCCCAATTGCCTATGAGACAAAGACATAGAATTCTCTTTAGAAAACCACCCATCAGGCCCAGGCATCTGGCACTGTGTGGATCAGCGCACTTTGGTGGGTATGTGTGGGAAGTCCCAGTGCACCACCAAAACTGACACCCAGATGGGACACATGGCATCCCCCCCACCACAGTCTGGGACAGGCTGCTGCAGGACTCGAAGGTTAACACACGGGAGGCACGTAACTAAATGACTAACCACTGAGGGAAATGAGCACCCAAACCACAGTGAACCCCTGTGAGCATGGGGAAGAACCCATATCTCTGGGGATAGCACTTGGAAAGCAAAACAAGTGCATTGGGGTGTGCTCTCTCTCAGCCCAGACTGGGAACAGGCAGCCCACCACCAAGTTATGCACTTGACTCAGGCTCCTGCTCATTGAGGTCTCCAGCCTCTGGTCAGAACACCCCCAAAGCATCCCAAAATGTATGGTTTCAGTTTCATTCTTCTGAAAATAAGGGCTTTTTCACATTATCAGAGTAACATGCATAACAAATTTTAACTGCTGTGCTATAAATAAAACATTAACTGAAAGACAGAAATGGCAAACTTGCAAAACAAGTTTGCAATATACACATCTACACTGTCACCACTCATATGTAAAGAGTATGTCTACTAGTTCTGAAGAAGAACCACCAAGAGGAAAATGAACACTGATGTGAGCAGAAAGCTCAAAGAGAAAAAAATGCAAGTGGACAATGAACTGTTCACAAGGCACCACCTCACAAGTAGGAAAGTGAAAATCAACCCAGATGCCATTTTCCCCCCAAGGAGAAACAAGGTTTTTTTAAAAACTAGTGTTTAGCACACTGCTGCATTTTTGGAGAGGAACAACGTGTTTATGTGTGTGTCTGCAAACACTGACAGGAGCCCAGGGACATAGGACAGGGTGGCAGGGGTGGGACTGACTGTTGCTATCCAGCTGCTGAGCCCTTGCTGGACACCCAGGCTACCGAGGAACCAGAGCACTACCAGGACAACAGCACTACCAGGCGGCAGCATCCAACCAGAGAGACAGGAGGGCAAGTGTCACTATAGCATGAGGCAGGCTGCCACATGGCACCTGTTGTGCTGTGCGGAACAGCACAGAAACCGGGCCGCCTGCTCAGCTATCCACACACTGGCTTTCAGTGGGATACTGGCATCAACAAAGTCTTGGTCACAGCCTGGGAGATCCTGTATCTTTTTTTTTTGGTATCACTAATCTACAATTATACGAAGAACATATTTACTAGGCTCCCCCCTTCACCAACTCTCCCCCACATACACCTTCACAGTCACTGTCCATCTGCGTAGTAAGATGCTGTAAAATCACTACATGTCTTCTCTGTGTTGCACAGCCCTCCCCATGCCCCCCACGCACTATACATGCTAATCGTAATGCCCTCTTTCTCTTACCCCGCCCTTGCCCCTCCCTTCCCACCCATCCTCCCCAGTCCCTTTCCCTTTGGTAACTGTTAGTCCATTCTTGGGTTCTGTGATTCTGCTGCTGTTTTGTTCCTTCAGTTTTCCTTTGTTCTTATACTCCA